ATGGGGCCATCCTTTTGGTCAACTGTGACTCAGAAAAGACCTACAAGAAGACACCAGACAGCGAGGACAAAAGCATTTATAAAGTGTCTGGTAAACCACTTTCAGTGCAGTTTCAGTTTTCACCAATAAATACTCTATTTTTTCATTTGTTTTCTGTACCACAAGTTTTTTTTGTTGTTTTTTTTTTTAACTTTCCCTAGCATTAGAAAAGCCATTCTTATTGTCTGTACTAAGCAGATTCAAATGGTGATATGGTAAATCAGTCTGATAAAGAATTGTCTTGTGAGAGACAAAGACTCACAAGGGTAGAGATAAAATCCAGTAGAGCTGAAATTTGATAGTATATGCTGGTCAGGCGTTATGTGTAAAGGTGTACAGTTACCAGAAACACTACCACATGCTGACTGACGTCTGCAGCATGTGGAGCAGTTAAAAAAAAGTCTCTTTAGCACTGAAGGAATAACTAGTACAGATATGGAAGGTACCAAATTGCACTATAGCGCGGGATCAAAGCCCCTACTGTAAGTCAGTGACTACAGCAGATACCAGGCACAACACCTGAGATGGGAAAAAATTCTATGGTGCCAACGGCATTAATAATTTTTATGGATGTACAGATCTAAAGGACATGTCTGTCATGGTGCTGCGGACCAAAGGCCCGGGTAAACTCCCAGAGGGCTACAAACTCACCATGCACATCTCTCAGGGAGATGCAGAGAGTGTTCGAGTCTTCAGAAACCGATCCACCGAAGTGTCAAATAGTGGCCTATGTGAGTAAAGAAGTGGGTATAAAGAAAAGCCCCGGAACATTTGATCTGATGTGCATGTCACCTGATCTGTAAAAGCATGTTTTGAACACCTTCTTTTTTTCTTTTTGTTTCTAAGTTAACCACCTAAGTATTTAACCTGTTTTCTGTCATTCTTACTTCAGCGCAGAAACTTTACAATCTCTTTGTGAAAGACTATCCACTGGTGCTGAGCAGTGATGTGCTGTCCAAGGAAGTGCCTTACCTTGGAGGCGTGGCAGAGATGAACTTTTATGTGGAGGGCCTGAGGTTTCCTGACAAAGACTTCAATGGACTCGTCACCATCAACCTCAGTCTATTAGAACCAATCTCTGATGTAAGTTCCAGAGTATAGCGTTACAGTGTAACACTGCTTTATTTAATCACCTTCTTTCTTTACACCCTTAACTACAGCATAACTGTAGCGGATACATTTTGTGACTCCAGTTAACATGAAGTTTTTGAATCCATTTTTTAATGTTGCATTACAAACATAGAATGGAGTATAACCGGCAGTACTCAACAGCCTCTCGCATGTTTCAACAGGGTCTCCCTGAGACGCCGATTTTTACTGACAAAGTTGTGTTTAAAGTCGCACCATGGATCATGACACCCAACACGCTTCGACCTGTAGAGGTGTTTGTCTGCAGGTTAGTGTAGACTCATGAATAATGAGCATGATGGTGACAGCTGTTGTTGCTGTCACACATTCCCCTTAGCTTGCCTTCTTTCCAAAAAAGCCAAACCTGTTTGTCTGTGTAAATACTGTAAATACTGCTTTCACAGACATTCGTTGTTTTACAATTTAATTTTTTAATTGTTTTTAAAGCTCTCACTAAAATAAATTAAAATATGTTACTTATGTTGTGGCACAATCTAAAAACTGCTTGACGGTTTCTTTGTTAGCACATCTGATAACTACCAGTTCCTGAAAGGAATGAGGAACCTTGTTGCGAAGAGTGGGTACAAGCTGAACATTTGTCATGAATATGTAAACAGAGGTGACCGCTGGATGCAGGTAAGCCATTTTTTTTTAAACAAGGAAGGGTTATGAGTTTTAATGATGGTAACATTGTGGTTTTATAACTCCAAGTAAACAGGAACAGTAAATAAGACGAACATTAACACGAAAACCACGAAAAGTGTTTCTTTGAAAGATTACACAATAGAAACTGGTTTCACAACAACCACACTGCAAAACGGAAAACCACAAACATTTGCAAACACGTACATATCTATTCATTCACACGAAGAAAAAAAATTCTCTAATCAACCAAGCCAAGAGGACAGCATAAATATAACATATATTTTCTAATTTTCAGGATGAACTGGAATTTGGTTACATCGATTCACCTCATCATCGTTTTCCTGTTGTTCTGGATTCCCCGAGAGATGGCGAGCTAGCAAACTTTCCATATGATGAGCTGCTTGTAGGAGAAAAGCTTATAATAAGTTTTTACTGTTGATGTCATTAAAAGCTTTGATTGTATATTATTCACATTGGTTTTGTTAATCAAATTATAGGCTCAAAGCAGAAAATTACATTACTTGCGCTGATTTATAAAAAAAACACAAACAATTATTTACTTTGTCTAGGGTCCCGACTTTGGCTATGTGACAAGGGTGGCCCTAGATGAACATGTGAGCAGTTTAGATTCGTTTGGCAATCTGGAGGTCAGTCCTCCTGTCACAGTAAATGGAAAAAAATACCCCCTGGGTAGAATCATCATTGGGGTTGCCTTCCCTACGTGAGTTTCTAAAAAATTCAAAGATCAATTCTTGACTTATAAGCAAATGTACCAAGAGCAGAAATGTTACAGATGACTTTTGCAAAGTGAAACCTTTTTATTTCTTATAGGGCAACTAAAGGACGAAATATGACCAAAGTAGTTCAAGACTTTTTGTGGGCTCAGAAGGTTCAGGAGCCCATTGCCTTGTTCTCTGACTGGCTCCTTGTTGGCCACGTGGATGAATTCATGACTTTCGTTCCTGCACCTGACAGAAAGGTAACTAAATTTTCTACTGAAGTGAATCTGGTGCTGCATCTGCTTGATAGTGACTTGCTGCTTTGTACATTGTGGAATTATATAAGGTTTTAGGATATGAGAGCTTCACTGTTATCTTTGTCTCTTGTTTGTCTGTTCACAGGGCTTCCGACTGCTGTTGTCCAGCCCAGACGCAGGTTACAAACTATTCAGAGGCCTACAGAGCAGTGGACACGGACAAGCCACGTTGTTTGATGGTAGGCCAGTGTTTATCTGCAACGTCTGTAGAATATATGCAAGGGCATCTTAGCAATGCACAAATTCATCATGGCACCAAGCCTTATCACTCACTCTGATGTTCCCAAACAGGGTTGACAAATGCAGAACAAATAACACTGGATGAAATCCTTAAGGATGAAAAACTCCAAGCTGAAAATAACTATGTACAGGTGAGTGAGATTGTAGAAATAGAAAGAAGATGAAAAGAAAGAAGACCAGAAAAGAATATGGTATGCTAGTTCAGGCACGAAGACACAAGTATGTAAACAAAGATAACACATCTAACTGCTGAATATCACATTCTGGCAACGAGCATTAATATGGTGCTATGACAGCCTCTACTCTCTAGGAAGGCTTTTCACTGGATTTTAGAACCTCGTTGCAGGATTTGCTCCCATTCACCCACAATGGCATTAGTGAAAGCACAACTGTTTTTGAGTGAGAGCGGCTGGCACGCAGTCAGCATTTCAATTCATGCCAAAGGTATTGGAATGGGGAATGCCAGGATGCTGTACATTAGGAATTTTTTTTATCAGCAGTAATTCATGGCCACCAGCCCCACAACATTATTATCTTTCCAACAAGCTTTACTGTTGGTTTCAGGCAGCATTAGTAAAGAAGGATTCATCATTTAAGATATTTCAGCTGCTTTAGAGTCCAATTGCATTGTACTCTACCCCACCCTAGCATGCATTTGGCATTGCTCGAGTTACTCTTTGTCATTACAACTTTTAAAGGTCCAAACAAAAAGTTTTTGTGTTTTTCTCAGAAGCCGTTTGTCCTTTAATTCCTAAGTTTAATTTTTACTGTGTGCATCAGTACTCTACAGCCTATGAACCTATGTAGCATACTTCTACACATGCTGTTCCTTCTCATAGATATTTGCACTCCGGGACAACACTGGCCAGACATTTGTCAAACTGACTTAGTGTAAAAATAGCCTCCTATGACCAAGCCACCCTAAAGTCACTGAGCTGTGTAGTGTGACCCCGTGTTTAGCGACAAGTGCTTCATCAAAGACACATGCATGGATGTATGCACGATTTTTCTTTTAGAGAAATGTTTGCAGTTAATGTGGCTAAATGATCTTAACCTGCATATTAGGGCTGATATTCACATACTATTGGGTACATTTGTATTTGGGTAGATTTTGGTGGTACGTAAACCAAAACTACCATATGAACCACTATGGTAAAATGTTTTATATTTTGAGCACAGTAATTTAACAAGCAAAATGAGAATAATTTTAGAGGCATATATTATCATTATTTTATTTCCAGAGCTGCATCGACTGGAACCGGGATGTGTTGAAGAGGGAACTAGGCCTAGACGATGAAGACATCATTGATCTGCCAATCCTCTTCAAACTAGTGGAGGATGAAAAGGAGTATAGAGCAGTAGCTTACTACCCCGACATGGTAAATTTTACATTATATTTTATTAGGCATCAAAGCTCCTGCTAGTTGAAAAAAGATGTAAATAAATCTTTGGGCTGACAGAAGAACTATATTTGCTATATTTGTTTCCAGGTGAACATGATTGTTTTGGGGAAAAACCTTGGTATCCCAAAGCCCTTTGGCCCCAAAGTGAATGGACGATGTGCACTCGAGGCTGAGATGTGCTCTCTAATGCAAGGCCTGGGCCTCAACTGCACGTTCATTGACGACTATTCATCCTACCACCAGCTGTTGGGAGAGGTCCACTGTGGGTCCAATGTCCGCAGGGAGCCCTTTGAGTTCAAGTGGTGGAACCTGGAGATGTAAATAATATAGATATGACATAGAAAGAGTTCAGCCCTAGTTGATTTGGTGACGCCCATCATGAAAATCATTGTATTGCCATAGCAAACACTTCATTGTCATCATTTTGTAATGAATACTAAAGACCAGCAAATGTTGCTTTACAAAATAAGAAATTAGAAAGGTGGTTGGTGATAAATGCAACTGTTTTCTAATGTCATGCAGAGAATGATGAAAACAGCTGTGGGAACAGACTACATTGCATTAACAGTATCTTAATGTAGCTCTGACACACTGTAAACAGGGTAAGTAAGGCATGCATGCTATGTTTCATGTGCCTCGAAATGGAATCGGTTAACAGTGATGCAATGGTGGACTAACTAAATGATGATACTAACAAATCTACATATATACAAAGATGTACTTACAGAATGTTAAAACATGTATTTGGTATCCAGTCTGGGAATGGATTTCATAAAAATTTGGGGGATTTAACTTTAAAAGGAGCAGATGGTGGTGGTTAGGTTGGTGTATTAGATAACTTGGAAAACAGCTTCCTTAAAGCCTTACAGAGAATCATCTCTGCCTTCATGAATGAGGAATGCCTTTCAGTTTCTTATCAATCATTTTATATTGAATGTGCTTCATTCTCACACAGAAATACTTAAATGGCAAACATGATTTTTTTTTTATTGCAGAAATGAAACTTTATTCACTTTATGCATTTTCATCTTTATTAAACTTTTTAGTTAGCTTATTTTACAAAAAAAAAGCTATATGTACAAACGTTTCTTTTAAACAAGGGCTTAAGCAAACTGACAAGAATCAATACAATCATTTGAATCAAGCACAGAGAAGACTGGTTTCCAGTGTTGTGGTTAGCATACAGTGCAAGCACAGATAGATGATGGTACCACATAGTGATGTGCTATAATAACTCAGAGCCACACGAGGGCAGGCTTTATCTACTCAAGGATTCAGGAGGAAAAATGATTTGAATACATCTTCCTTAAATGATTCTGAAAGGCTGTAACTGACATGTGTTACTGTTACATTTGTCTATGTTTTTCTGTGCATGTGTTGTATTGAGAGTGATTTATGCTATAAACAACTTGATGAGTACATTAAACAGTACATTTGGTCCAGTGTTTTAAACTTTGTCTCTTTAACTATAAATGCTGTCGTTAATTCACAAAAGACAAAGGTCTGCTTCAGTCATGTCACTGAAATAAATCATCCCTATATGAGCTTTTCCCTTCACAACTAACTTAAAAAACAAAAAAACAAAGCTTCTCTGCTCATGTAAGCTGAGCTGCTTCAGGCTCAAGTTTACTGTCGTCAGGAATCAACAGCACAACTATTGTGAGCAAATATGTACAAATGAATCCATCTCTGCCTCATTTTACATTCAAGCAATCAGGCAGCAGCACAGTGCCTTTAAAAATAACCCTTCTTTAAAGCAGCTCACATGACAGTCATAAAGGCAACTTCAAGACGAGTCACAGTGTAATTTACTTTCAGCAACAAATCGGGTTTTTCAAAAAGGTCAACGTTCAGAAGTATCTCTGAAAATGTAGTGTTTAAGTCACATACATATATTACACTTTACATACAAAGTAGGAAACTTTGACATTTGGCTCTCTATTAGCAGTGTGCACTGCATCTGGAGATGTCGGCTGGTTTTTCGGTAAAACACAAATCACAAGGACAACACCTTTATGTCAAGCATGGCACCAGTTTACAGAGGAGAGGATTTTGACAAGCAGATTTACACCGTACACATTACTGCTGTATACACACCTGTACACAGACATCAACAAATGGGGTGTGAAAAAGATCTTTGAAAAGTTCAAAGAACTGCTTTAAGTTTGCAAATTTGATGATGCGTGTCGCTGGTTTGGGCACTACAGTAGCTCTGCTTTTGTCTTAAACTAAACCAATAGGGTCAACGTTTCTCTTAAAATAGGTCTCGTTTTCACTGTGGCACAGTTTTTGTCTTTTATATGTAACCCATCAATTAAAAATGAGAAAGGTGAATAATAGTTTTTACATCCACCAGCAACAGCATCATGAAAGTACCCTTGATTAAAACATGACATACTCTTGCTGAAGTTGTAAAACACAACAAATATCTACTGAAGAATACTCGGAAAAGAATACATCAACATTTAAACACAAAATGCGGCCTTAGATGCAGCCACATACACCTGATACATCAAAGTCAAACCAATATCACAGTGGGATGTGAGTTTGACATTAAAAAACAAAGCTTTCTTCTGTAGTTCAACTCTTTACAGGCTGAACAAACACCGGCTGTGTGGATTTCTTTAACCACTCTTTCAGTGACAAGATTAAATCTCTATTTGAATCCCGATCTTTGAGTTTTTACAGTAAGAATTAGGTTTCGGAGCTTACTGGCCTGAAGAATGAGAAGGCGGGCACATGTACTGTGCATTGCCAGCTGAGAGATGCTGCATGAGTGCAGAGGTCCTTTTCCTTTGTACTGAACAAAACGGAGGTTTTCGCATGGAGATGGTGGTAGGTAGGTGTCTGGGTGTCTGTCATGTCACGCAGCAGATCCAAGTCAAACATAAAAAGTATGATCTGTCAGTTGCTTGATCTGACTTCTAACTGCTCCTTTTCTGCATTGATGGAGTTGACATGCCCTTGGCTTGCTTCTTTTAGACAAAGATGCTCCTTATTGGAATGCTTAGACAAAAGGGGAGAAAAGGAGAAATACATAAATGGGCAGAAAGAAGGATCAGGTAAATGAAGTGATAAAGGAATGGAGGAATGTGGGAATTTATCCCTTAGGCTGTACCAACATTATAACCTACCTGAAAAATGGATGTCAATGACGGGGCGACAGAGTGGCTAACAGTTCTGCATACAGATAAGGAATGAGAAATCATGGTGCAGTCAATATGCAAATATTTATTGGTTTGCATTGATTCACCTTTCTGTTTTCAGCCATGCTAGTGCATAGTGTCTTTATGTTTACATGTTATATTTATTTGATTTAAAAGGAACAATACACCTTAATTAAGATGAACACTTAAGTTAATTGCACAAATTAACTTTCCTCTTGCAAAACTAAGTTCAACTTATTATGTCAAATATCTCAACATACATACATCCAACTAAACATGCATGGAGCTCAAAGTCTGTATAGACACCCATTCTTCTGAGAAGATGGTGGGTTTAGTGATTCTCTGGTTTGTCATCTGTTTGGGCTGATTACTAGATCATTTCAGAACAAATGACATCTGTGTTATAGACTTTTGAGTGTTAGTTTAAGCATGCATTCAGTTAACATGCTTTCAGATGTTAAGTGAATGTGGACCTAAAACCACCGTACCCTCACGCCTGTAGATGTATTACTGTACTCTGTACAGCATCAGAAACTAGTAGAACAAAAACAGGCGAATATAATTTCCCAGAACAATTTCATATGACCAGCAGGAATATTGGTCCTTTTACTCAAGTCGCTTATTAAATCATTCTACCAATTTCTGAAAGCATTGCGGTGTTATTTGATGACTTGCACCAAGCACTTTGTCTTACCGATGAGAATTTGTGCTCCTGCTGAGTGCGCTCCATCTTTGACCGGCTGTCTGTCCCTTTTGGTTCTAATGTCCTCGCTGCGTCCGGTTGTTGCTGGAGACGTGAAGCTGCTGGAAGGAAGGGGACAGATGTGTTGCTGTCATGGTTAATAAACTCAAGCATATAATGCTGCCAGCTGTTATAAATACAAAAACCCCAATGTGGGGTATGTTTCATGTGGGAAACAGATACATTTTCAGAGTAAATGTGAGTCATTTAGGAAGAGTTCGCTAAATTGTACAAATCATGCCTACTGCTGTTGTTGTTGGTAAGCTCCATATGGGGAAGCTGAACTCCATCACTCAAGGGTGCTTTAATATTAATTTCTTAGGAAACACAGAGTGTTATTTTTGCAACTGCCCTATATATATATTTCCCCCAGATACTCTTGACATGTGAAACAGTTGACCTTTTGGTAACCACAACTTCAGGATATTACTGAGACAGTAATATGAGCTCCCAAGCTCACCTGGAAGATTTCCTTGGCTGGTACTGTCCTCCACCCCAGAGCTGTACACAAATGAATCTTTTTTGACTGGTGTAACACACGACACACTTTCCTGGAAGAAGAGTAAAGTAAGTTTGATATATAACTTACAATAAGATGAAGGCAGCATAATCAAAACTAAAGTTTTATTCAGTTGTGCATTTGTTTTTGTCTCTTTGTAAATGCAGACAGTCTATCTGAAAGAAATAGCTAGAATGTCCTAACTAGAATGGAGTGATATCCATCAAGCCTTCTCATGGGTTTTTCCCCCCAGTTGTTCAGCTTACAGCAAATAACAAATAAGAACCAAAGCGATACTTTCACTGCAGTAAATGTGGAATAAATGCTGATGGAAGCACTTGTGGATCATCAATGCTAGGACGCTGATGACTTATTTTGGCTTTGGAGGAAGTAACCTTTATGCATGCACTTGATAATGTGTAATTACTCCACCTACCAGTCCAGTGTCATACTCCTCTTCTGCTTCATGCTCCTCCACGACGCTGGCAAAGCTGCTGGCATTGGAGGAGGAGCGGGAAAGGTCCTGCGCCTCAGGGATAGATGGTGCCCTGCAACACATTGCCAAACTACACACCTGGGTCACTCTGATCACATAATCACTTTGTGGTTTCCTTCTACTGAGTTCATTAAGGAAGGTTAAAAAAATAAAATAAAGTGCACTTTAAAAGTCTAATTACTTTGCCATCTTTATGTCAGAGTTCATCTGTTGTTCCCGAAAAAAGCAGTTACAAGCAAAAGAACCATAGTTTGATCACAGTTTGACTGAATAATGTGAATGTTTGGGGTTGTTATATTCATTTGGCTGAAGAGGATTAGGACTATGACTTGGAGAGCAATCGTCCATGTCACTGTTCCATTCTACAAAATACAATGCAGCCTTTTCAAACTGATTCAATGTGTGTGACTATAATACAAAGTAGTATACTCTTACATAATGAAATTAACAGTCACCTGTTCTTTGTGGTAGGAAACTCTGGAGAACTGTGATTGGAGGAGTTGTCTGATTTGTTTTCCTGTGACATGTGGCTACTCTCTGGTGTCCTCTGGGTGTTGGGTGATACTTCTCGGCTTCAGGAAAGGATATAAAGTAGTCAAAATAGCTCATCTGATTTCGTTTAACAATAAATGGTTACAGTGCATTCATATCACTCAGCATGGCTCCACCCTAAAACTGAGCATTATGAGCTGAACCACTGACAGCAACCAACAGCTGTGCAGTTGTTGTTTTTTTAATCAAATCAAGCATTGACAAGCCCTTCTCTTAGGATTTGATCTTACACAGTGCATTTTCTAATAGCTGTATCCCTCATTTTAATGTCCTGTCTTCCATCTGTTACAACACTGTTCTCTCTTCACTACCCACTCTCTGCTGATCAGCTCTGCTCTGTCCTCTCACCTCCTCTCTTGGACCTCCTGGATGTTCTCGATGCCAATAGCACTACTGCGACGGGAGCTGAACGGCCCAGACTTTTTCCTGGTTGGGCTTTTCCCAGGAATGATCAATGACTGACGGTGGGTAGGGAGAGGAAAGTAAGACACACAGTTTGGGGATAGTGTAATAACAACAAAACATGATATGCAGTGCATAAAGTGAAGCTTTCTACATGTAGAAATATCTTGTAGAGGAATTCTGAAGTAACGGTTGGATAAATCCTGAGTTAAAGTTATGACAAACTTGTAAAACATTTTATTTTACAAATCCGTGATGAACTTGGCTCCAGACAAAAATTCATTATATATTCTATAACTGATTATTTTTACTCTTATCTCTGAACATCTCATCATCTCTGACATTTTATTTTCTTAGGTGCAGCGTGTACATCAGCTTGGCTGGTGCACACTTTTAATTTAAGATGCAGTATGATTCATTGATGTGCGACTGTCTATGAGAACATAAGTGGGAGTTTGTTTATCTTCTCCTTTTACAATATATTTTTCTCTTGCAGTTACTTTTAACTAACTTAAAAGTAAAATGGTGCAAACAAATTCGTGCATGAAAGTCCTGACACTGATCTGCCTTCTGTCTACCAAAACCCATGATGGTTGTGCAAATGAATGAAATGAAGGAAATTGTAATTAAAACTATAACCCGACAAGTATCATTATAACTGATAAATTCTTCAAATCTGAAAACCTCTCACAGCCACAGGAATGAAACCGTATTTTAAACTTAAAACAGGGTAAATACTAATTAAACATTACATTATACAAAGACAATAGTAAATTAAAGAAATGTTTTAAATAAGTAGGTAGAATATACGTGGACCTCTTCTATTGTTCCTATCCCTATGGCACTGCCTCGACGTCCATATTTACTGGGACTTTTCCCTGGGACAAGCAATGACTGAGGTACACAAAACAGGGCAAGGAAAGCAGAAACAGAGAGAGAGGAGATTGAAAAAGCAAGAGGGGGAAGGAAAAGAAAAGAACACATCATAAGATCTCATGCGAACAGCACAGAGAATTTAAACAGCAAGGTGCAAAAAATGCTTAAAAAGGAGACTGCAACGTGACTCAACAGAGAAGACATAATATCGAGGAAACAGTGAAAGGCGTTATAGAGCAGAAGCGGGTTGGGGTCCAACATAGGAGGGCACAGCAGGATATAGTCTCAAGGTAGCGGGCAAGCCAGCAGTTTCTGCCCTGAGGGATACAAGTTAGTTTAGTGATACATTCAGAAAAAGAAGAAATGGGACAAAAAGGCTGATGCAAACCAAAGGGTAGCTTCCAAAATGTGTCTTCTTTTATTAACTGGATTAGTAAAGTTAGTAACCAAATGGCACGCTGCAGCAAATCTTAAACAAGTTTGAAAATAAATGATCTATCTTTCAAAGAGACACAAACAAGACAGTGAGCTCCTATGGTTTGTGCCATGCATCTTCTTCAGCCACACATGCACAAGGCTGCTTAAAAAAATTACAATATTTGCAGGAGGATATATGACAAAGCACAGCAAGGAGCAAGGGAGTCTGGGTAGTCATACAGCAGCTGGACTGAGCTCACTTCACAACTTGGAATAGAGACTAGACTGGGGCTCACAAGCAATCATTCATCTATATATACCGATAAGAAAATCACTGGGTTAATTCCACAGCTGACATTATTTTATAACATTGTCCTAGAAGTCTGTCACTCTTTGTGAAGATAACGATTCTTTAAACAGATGAGGATGAATGACAAATGGCGAATGAGCGCTTCTGTTAATTTTCCAAATAAAAAAAGGTATTAACATGAACACTATGAACTGTACTTGGAAAAAGGCTGATTAGTGAAATCTGATTTAGTAAAAGCAGCAGTGAATTTAAAATCTAGGGAATGAAAGTGAGTGTTTGATGTTAACATACTGATCAAAGTAAAGTGCTCCAATGTGCCAACATGAGTAATTTCCCAAAGTGCTTCTTACGAGAAAGAATAGTGGTTAATTTATTTTGTACGTGAACCCACTGCTCTGCGAGTATACTATACCCTGAATCTAAGTGTTAGGTGGGCAACGTGTGAACCAAAATGGGCTACTTACAATCCCTGGGGTTTTGGGACTCTCTGCGGGATTGTGGGTAAAGCTGCCACTGTGACTAGTGGAGACTGTGTGTGACTTCTTGTTACTGAGGCCCATGGCGTCCATAGATTGGCTTCTGCTGCGGATGACCCGCTACAGAGAGAAATGAGGAGATGCTGTCAGTGGATCCACGTTAATATGTGGAAACACAACACCCTGATGAATAGTGCAAAGCATTATATACTTCAAATGATTGTGAATCTATACTGAAATCTAATCTAAATTAAAATAATTATGTGTTTTCTATTTTTTTTATTTTGCTAGAGCAGACCACTCTATGTATTATGCATTCTAAAACCTTTAGTGGAAATCAGTGGAATGATTTAACTGACATGTACTTCTTCAACTATATTCCACATAGTGCCAACTGAGATTTGTTCCACCTGGTCCACTGTTTCTCTTTAATTTCATATCAATATGATTCTTTGAGCTACATGCTATACATTACATAAATGTACATCACAGTAAGTGTGATATAAAGCTAAGGGATAAAATGTGTTTATATGGGCATGTATGTGTGCATTGGTGTGCTTAAATGTGCATATGCAAGTGTATGGATGTATGCATGATTATTTATTGAACACTTAGGGGCAGTGCGGGATAGCATGTAGAGGGAGAGCCTGTGTGGAGGACATGTAGGTTCACAGAGGATTTAAAAGAGTGTAGGCTTTGCAGGCATTAAGGATGGAAATTGTCACTTAACACGGTGAGTCTGGAGTTGGGTTTTGTGTCATGAGCAAAAAAGACCAAGACTATTATGAGAGAAAGAAGAGGGAGTAGAACAGTATATAGAGAGCCAGAAAAAAGACCAAGCGGCAAGATCATTCTCGACAGTGAGAAAGAAAAATGAGGTAGGATTTCTTGGGTGGGAGCTCATCTGTGCTCATCTATATAAGTTTATGAATGTATGGAAGAAAGACAGACAGACATTAGCAAACAGCAGAGCAAGAGAGGATGAAAGAAAGGCTTTATATATATCTCTGAAGTTGCAGAGAAACAGCAGAAAAGATGACCTAGAACTAGTGATCATCACAGAGCAAAGAGCAAAACGGCAAAGGAATGCTGCCCATGAGGAGACATCCAAACTGCACCATCAGCTCCCTAATGAGGGGTCATTAAATCGTTCATCAGGCACACACCATCACAGCTTCTACTGCCGTGCCTCAGCAGCTGAGCTACGCTCCACCACCCTAATGGTCATTGATGGAGCGCTCTCAGTCAGAGCAAAGTGCCTTTCATACACAACAGGACACTCCACAGCCTCAAAACCATACCATCATGTGAGAGCACACTGAGTTCAGCAGTCACAGCCAAGTAAGGAATGCAAATGCCACAGGACTGGTCCTTTGAGATACCGCAGATTTTCAATGCTTTGTTTTTTGATGTGTGAATACCCAGAATCCCAGCCAAGAGACAGAGGACGCACAAAATAAAGCACCTTAAAAGTTTCTCCACTCATCACTATTCTCTCTCATGCATGTAGAGTTGCAGATTACCAAGGCACTCCATCAAATGAGGAATGACAGTTTACCTTGAATGATTCAAAGAAGCCTCCTCCTCCTCCTCCACCTCCTCCACCCCCATTCTCCAGCTTATCTTCGTCGCCACCCAGACCCATCATGGACTGACTGTTTATGTGCAGCTCCTCATATAGTGTTTCCAAAAGTGCCGAACGAGTTCGCTCCTGACAACAACAAACAAGACAATTCGTTTTCATACCGACCATAAACCTAATATTCACCATTTAAAAGGAGGGATTGAACAATTGCTTCAGGATGATAAACATCAGCAACAATGCTGATAAGAATCAGGGTTGTTGCCTGAGATGATTTGGACAACAATCTATGTTTCCACTTCGTATCAGTACAGCCAGCAGGATGCAGACCTGTGCAAACAGGCGTGTGCTTAAGTCTGCATCAACACTACAGACATTCACACTCCCTTGGCACAATTTGCTCCAGTGTGCTTCTCACCTCTAACTTGGCAAACTTCTCAGCCTTGTAGCAGGCGTATTCTGCATTAATGAGTTTAGTGAAGAGGAACTCATAAAACTCAGGGCCCTGAATAAAACAAATAAAAAGGTGAGAGGTCAGAGTAAAATATTTTTTTTATCTGTGTGGTGAAAAAGGAAAATATGGCGTTAACTGACCTTTTTGAAGATGGCAGGGTCAGGCAAAGCAGGCCCAAAGAAGGGTACATCATCTCTTGCTGTCACAGAAACCTAAAAAAGAAAGCAGGTAAGCCTAGAGACTGAAATACACATGCCACTATTAGAAACTAGAGAGCAGAATAAAATTCCTTAATTATGGATGAGCAAATCTATAAATGGGTGTTACAAGTCCCTATTGTTCAAATCCTCTTGATACAGTATTGACTGTCCTTAGAACCAACCTTGTAGGTGACATTGTCTGTACATGCATTTTCCACCTGCACCACCACATATGCATGCAGGAAGTTGGACTGGATCATGTCTGGTACAAAGGGCGTATTTTCCTCCTGGAACACGATGGCCACAATGTCGTTGCCTATGTGTCTCTTTCTCTGCAGCTGGGGGGCACAGATAAACAAAGCTAACAACAGCGGAAACATCTCAAATGACCACTTCTGCTAACACAAATACAGGCCTGTCAAAAAAAAACATCACTGCCAGCAATTGCTCTAAAAGACTGACTGGCAAGGTAGACATGACTTTAATCCAAAAGAGCACAATCTCTCCCTCTGAAACGCATGACGCCATCAGCCAAAAAATTAAATCCATCTTCAAGCTCTTGTTCCAACAATTTAATAAGATGAAAAATCTCAATATTTTACAGAAAATAAATATATATACAAAAAACATGCAACTCATGGGTGTATATAGCATTTCTGAAAGTACAGACAGAAATCTGCTTTGGGAAACAGATTTTTCACTGTAAGACAGACTTAAGACTGAGTTCGAATTATTTCAGAAAAGTGTGGATATTTTGGTAATTAACACTTCTCAGTATCAGTGGAGGTACTGCAAACTCAAACAGAAAATGCTTCATGAATCTGCTGACGACTGAATGTTATCATGGCTGCAAAATAACTTCATCTTCTTTGCTGCCAAAAGCTTGAAGTTGCCAGAAGGACACTCATGCATCTGGAGGACAAAGGGACTGTTCTCAAGTATTAAAATTTGTATCCAAGCGGTATCTTTCAAAAAGCTCTGCATTAGGGATATCTTCTTCCTTTGCTCAAGCATGAATAGATGTTGTCACTTCATTGCCTTTTTGCTAGGAACTTTGATTAAACAGCTCACAAGCTTCGATGACTATCTAAGAAGACTATCAAATTTTTTCTCTTCCTTCTAAAAGAAGAAAAGGACTTTCCAGGAGTCAAAGCATATTTCCTGTTTGAGACATAATAGCGTCCCATATTTCTTTTCAGGAACCAAGCAGTAAAATAATTTGAGAAGCTACTGAATGTGGGAATATCATATCATATTCAGTTCAGCCCACCAAACTAGAAGAAAGATGCTTATCGTGGAAACCGTGTGACCCAAATGTTACCACTGCATATAAGTGGAGGGAAGATATATCAGATTTTGCAAATGGATACAATTTGGTGATAAAGGAAATCAATCAATCAGAGGGATGTATTCTCATTGCAGGCAGCCTTTATTAAAAAAAAAACCCCACAGAAAACTCCCCAGTACTGTGACACTTGCTCAGCAGCAGCATTCACTTATTAGCCTTTGTCTTTGACAGACTAATTAACAGCCTTTTTCTAAAGCTACTTCACACCTGTTGAAAAGAGCTCTTGTGTTGGCTGGTGCTTGTGTTAGAGTCAACCAACTGGAAGCAAAATACAATACAGCAAATAGGATTTAGAGATGATTATGGTGTTTGCTTTTCTACTAGAAGTTTAATAAGGTTATAACTTTGTTTGTTTGTTTGTTTGTTCATATGAAGAAGACGTGTTTCTGATTCTGGGAAGTGTTTATAAATATGCCAGTTTATTACTTAAAAAAAAAAAGTGAAATTATGTGAAAAAACATCAAAGATGCTCTCAATCAGTCTCACAGCTGATGGTTTTCTGATAACTTTATCACAACTGAGTTTATCTGCAAAATGAGTTTTATGTAACTGTGTTGAAAGTCTGACAGGAATTAAGTCAAGTTTTACTATTTTTTATCAATTTAAGCTGAATATTGTAAGGTTTTGTAAAGAATGCATTTTTATGACAGTAATGAAGGTGAATTAGATAGGCTACACATGGCTATGATTCATGTCATCCAGGCTACTACTGCATCACCCCTGAGCTGATTATCTGTCGGCTTCAGTATTTACTCACACAACGACTCTCTGAAACCAAACAGCTGAAGACGCTCTATCTAATTTTTCCAAGCACTGCAATCGTATACCATCACCACACACAAACAGGCTTAGCGTATGTGTCACTGATTTCAAACACTTGACATCTGTTATTACTGTAAGACCTTTCAAATCTGATTACATTCAGTAAGGTCTGGCAACAGAAATCTTTTACTTTTTCCTCCCTGAAGTACTGAATACTGAGCTATTACTCTTGCACCTTGCCTTCTTTTCCTGAGTTCCCTGATGAATCATCTCATGTGGGTGTTGTTTATGCTCTCTGTATCTCTCCATGCCTAGGCAATATGGACCATCTGTACAGGGTTACTGCGGTAACAAAGTTCAAACCACTCTAGAAGGGACTGAAGAGCAGCTAAGGACTAATGCAGCTCACTGCAACATAACATCAAATAGATAAAAGTCTTTAAGAGAGGAGAAACTTCAGTACAAAAAAGACCACTGTAATTCTAGTGGAAATGGTAAAAATGCTATTTCTCTCTGGGGTAAGTGAGCACAACAAACATGGAATTACTTCCATTGTTAATATCTGCCAATCCCTGGAATGCTGTAATAAAAATAGCAAACAAACATGGAAGATATGTATGTACAGTTCTGAAAACAAAAGCTTTAGAAGGGCTCTATGCAGTCCTGGACATAGGCACCTTGCAGTCATTAAGCCAACCATGAACTGTACATGAGGCCATCTGTCTGACAGTTTGGCCTAAATTATGTCACACAACAGGTCAATGATCCCAAGCACACAACAAATCTGCAACTGATGTGCTGAAAAAGAAAACAATCAGTGTTGAAATAGGCCCAGTCACTGAGTCGCTGAGCTTAATCTGACAAATATGATGTAAACCAGGCTTCTTTCTTTGAGGCCGACCTTTAAAGTGAACTCAGAATTGTGATATTGATGGCATCAAAAGCTGAACTAAGGTCAAACACCAGAAATCAATATTAGAAAAAAATAAACAAATTTATAACATGTTAGAGGAGTCTCGCTCGTTACCTTTAATAATGAGCCAGAAAAGCTGTTTACTTCAAGCTGTTTTTAGTCTCAATATAGTGTTTATTGTAAGAACATTAGGGCAGTTCTTCTCAACAACTCTCAGCAAAAAAGCAAAGAAGTATCCATGATGTACAATTTTAATCCTTATTTTTTCCACTTTGCACATCAAAGTTACAAATGAACATGATTCATCTTCCTTTATCAGCACTGAGTTAAATGCCTTGACCCGCCAGCTGCTGCTGCAGACGCATGAATGTGTCACAAGCACAGACCTTTACAAATCGATTACTGAAGGTCCTGAAAACACAAACTGGTTTCCTAAATGATTAATCATTGGCATTATCACTATACCTGCTGTGAGTCTCCTTCTGTGTAAGGCAGTTTAGTGGACACATGAAACATGATCTCCTTATTATGAAAATTTGTGTAGACGGATTCTGTCCCTGTCTGGCCATGAGTGACATCGAGTCCCCCCCGAAAACTGAAAAAGAAAGGAAAGAGAAGACAAAAGAAAGATAAGGGCAGAGGCAATAAAAATAAGAGAGGAGAAAACAAGAGAAGAAGGCAAGTATAACACTGTGGTTAACAGCAGAGAGACACAAGACAGAAGAGAATGATAAAGTGGAAAAGTGGAACATAGGTGCGTGCTCTCTGACAACTGTCCATCCATGCTGATTCATCATTGAGGAAATGCCAAGGGCACTTTTTTTGCTTGCTTAATCCCTCAGTCAATACTACAAATATCAGGGCTTTTTACATTGCTCTTTAAGCAAACACTGATCAATAGAATGATGCATCTCACATCATATTCGAGTGAGAATAACCAAAAGTGCTTTAAAAGGTCAGTTTTTCTGTTTTTGGGGGAAAGACTTCACAATGCAAAACTGTCCAAACCCTTTAAAGTCATGAAGTTCAATCTTATGGCCCAGAAACTCCAAGAACTCAACAAAGGCTGGACTTTCTTCCATGTTCCCAAATAGCTCCTCCTCTGATGTCTGCAGGGAAGAAGCAAATAAAATTTTCAGGAAGAGTGACTTCAAAAGCTGAAATAAGCTGAAATAAGCTGCAGCAGCATCACTGAAGTGCACTCACCTGACCAAACTTTTGATAAATAACCCCAAACTTGAAATTGTTGCTAATTACATGCTCATCAAAGGTGACAATGAGCCTTGATGCCTGAGGATAAGAGAAGATTGAGTTTCTAGTCCGATTCATGGTACTTTAGTATTGCAGGATAACGCGGATCAAAAGATAAAGTGGCAATGAGGAGTACTGCTTACCTTCGGATAGAGGACAGGGTAAAACCTATCCACATTTACTTCTTCACAAACAAGCTGTGAATGAAAAAATACACTTGACAAAGTCAAATTATATGCAGAGAGATTTTTTTGTGTGTATGAAGATAATCATACGTTTTTACCTTGGCCATCTGAACCACGTTGGGGAACTCAGTAAGGCAGGAAATGGGAATCACATCATGATAAGTTTTTTGTTTTGTGCTGAAAGGCAAAAAAATATGAAAAGTCAAAACGTCCTCTGTTCTATTTCTAATCCAAAGGAATCCTGCTGGGTTTTTGGTTTCTTTCTATGATGCTTTGCCTCCAAGCAATTGAGCTGTCAATTCAAAGAGGACCTTTCCTATAGATGTTGTGTGAAGCTGGGAGCATAATGGTCTTTACACATGATGTTTCCGAGCCAAAATTGCCTGGAAGAGGGTTGAATGGGGTGTGTGTGTGTGTGTGTCTAGTGGTGGTGGGGAGTACAAGGAGTACAATAAGCAATACTAGGAAATCTGCGCACCCAGTGAATGCTTAAAAGCAGCCTGTGTCCAGAAATTCTGAACAATAAACAGTACATACAGCAGCACTTCACTTTTGGATCTTTCTCATCAAGAGTTACTAAAGATGAGAAGATTGATATTACTTTCATGATATATATACAAAGATAATATCAGGCTAGAGGCAGCCAGTTAACTTAGCAAAAAGTCTGCCTCTGTATAAAAGTGACAATCCAGCGCTAAAGCTAATTAACTCCAAATATATAAACTCTTGTGTGCAAAACTTTCCCTCAAACACCACTCACAGGGTTGCAAGTATGACTCAGTTACTCAGCCTGCATGCTTTGGATTTCTCCACATGCTTAAATCATGTATACTGACTCACTACAAAAGAGATTCCCTGAAAACGTATTCATTGTACCGTCTGATGAAATTTCAAAAATCAAACTTATTATGTAGAGGTCTCAAAAACTCATACAAACTCATGCATAAAATATTATATATTTGGCATGGAATTAAATTTGTACTCTGCAGGAACAATAATATGGAGTTATATATCGTTAGCTTCATAGCATAAGTGCCTAAGTCATTTTTTGGTCAAATTGAAAATATCAATTAAAAATATGCATGTGATATTTAGAAAATTAGTTTTTTCTTGTTTTCCGAAAACACAAAAAAATGACTTAGGCACTTACGCTATGAAGCTAACGATATATTCAGATTTTCATACTTTCAAGGGTATAGATGATAATAATACCACCATTCATAAGTAGCACTTATGTAGTTACTGAAGGAACTGTGAGTGAATAGCATACATACATTAAAGGTTATATGGCATGTGATGCAGGAAAGCTGGATGTAAACTCGGGGTGAGAAAATACCGTGTCATTGCTGTCTATAGGGGCATTTCCAGTAAAAACAATAAAAACAGGTTATGCCTTATCATGGAAATCATACAGGTGCTTTAAATATAACTGTGCGTCACTGCCTATGGCTACACAATTCGAGGTGACTGTGGGTGGTGCCCACCCACTGAGAAACATCACTGTGTGAAAAATGTTGTGGGCAGAGTGGCTGTTACCCTCACTGCACACTCATCCACTCCGAGGCTTCATTAACAAAGAGGAAACACAGCTCTTAAAATCAAGAGGAATCTCTCAGGTGCTAAAATTAATTCACAGGTTGTACGGTGCACTGAGTTCTGCCTCACTCCCCCTCATCAGTCTCAAGGAGAATATGAAGGAGTGGTGAAGCTCACTGAGTGAGATTTAGGTGATTGTGGGTGGCACTGCACATGCACAGCGCAGATATTGCTGAGTATCCTTCCTTTTAACAGTTTTAAATCCATATTTGTACACAAAGGTGTTTGTAATTATACTGTATATTATATCACCTACTTTTATATTGACTACAATAAAATGATTGATACAATGCTCAGCTGGACTCTTGTCTAAGTGTTCATTATTACTGGCGATTGCATTTTAAAATGCATAACTGAGGCAACCTGTGAGAACCACTGACTGTGTTGGGGGAACTGAGAATGCTACCTTGCTCTGTGACATTTTCCCTTGATTTAAAGTTATTTTTGAACAAAAAGAAAATGTATCCAGTGAGGCATGTAAAAAAATACTCAGTACTTAATAGGTGTATTTTGGAAACTGTCAGTACATGCAAAGAAAACAAAAACGGAGAGTTATTGGACTGTTGCAGATTCGGCGTAAGAAAAGGCAGTGAAGACAGAAAATAAGTGAGAAACAGAAATATGAAAAGACAAAATGAGATAAAGGTAAGTGGTGGAGGGGTAGGGGAGTAAAGTCAAGGGCTGTGATTATAAAAGAAAACTCAGGGGAATAAAATCACAAATGGTGCAGGAAACAAGTCAGAGATAAAGATAATAGGAAACTGTACCGAAGCATCAAGCGCAGATGCTCTTGATCCCCAATGACATCATACTTCATTGAAAAGACCAAGTGGCCCAGGGCAGCATCCATGGTGTAGTAATTAAAGTGTTCCTAGGGGAAGATACGCAGAGGAAATTTTAATGGAAGAATACATATTGTTCCAATAGTTAGCAATAGAATAATAAAAATGTTTTTGTAAATTACAAATAAAGAGGCTTAAAGAAAAAGGCTTCTGTTTAAGGAAAGTGGTTGACCTCCTCTTGCAGAAAATTTACGAGCGTACATTGAGACAACTTTTGCGAAATCTTGTGTTGCAATGCCAATTTCTTTTGCTACACAATAGATTTGCATTTAAAGTAGACAGTTGGCTTCACACCACAAGATGAGACTTTTGCCAGTTTTAAGAAAATGCTAATAATTATACTGTAAGTCTTCAGAAAGCCAACTACTATTACTCTGTGCCTAATGTTTCCAAATGACACAAACACACACGTTCTTCCTTTGCTTTCATTGCCCTGTGCCTAAGTGTTAGATGTGTCAGGAGTTTTTAGAAACAAGTGTTATTTTATAAGAGGCTCAATCAAAAGATGGGTCTTCCTCAATATACTTGCACATTTCAAGGTTACATACTAAAATGAAGAAATAAAGATTAATCCTTTAAAACAAAGGAAAAGAAAGAATAGATTTTGCTTCTTGAGTTTTACCTTGCCCATGAACTGCTTCCTGTAGATCTTTGCAGTACTGTTTGTTTCCAGTTTAATGTGGGAGGTAGGACAGGGAGGTTGATCTGCCTCTGGTGGGTCTTTAGGTTCATGATTGGTCCCCTCAATCCAGTAGCCTCCAAACTGGGGCAGGAGTATGAGTGGAAAAGGACTGCTGCGACCCAGAACCTGGAAGTCACAGGAAATAATGATAACAGAGAAAAGTAAAGTATAGTACCATTATTAATAGTGAGTGTTTGGCACCATGCACTGCATTGCTTTCACTGCCTCAGAAACTGTGTATTCCCATTTGAATCTTTAGCATTACAGTTTCTGACATCTTTAAAATTACTTTGTAGTGTGTAAACTATTTATACGGAGGATATGTGGACTATACCTCATGAACGCTGGGATAAGGGATGTAGTCTTCTTCTGTCTGCAGGGACAGAAATGAATATGAGTCAGGCTGGCAAACAGCCGCTTGTAGTCATACTTTCAGTTTTGGTTCTTTGCAAAACAACGATGAGCACAGACACTGTGACAGAATATTAACTACAGTAGGTTTCAGTTCTGCATTGTTCTGTTACTTTTTCTTATTCTGAAATCACGAAAGAGGCCACACTGTCAGCTTTCTTTGAGAAATAATAAATGAATAAACGCTTTAGCTCTTTTGTTATTCAAGAAACTGTTATCTAAGACTTCAGTCTGTATTCATTGTCCCAGCTTTGATTACGTAACTATTAAAAGGTTATTTAAACTTGGCTGTCATCTGGCAAAGGTTTACATATTTTATAACCTCCAGTATCTGGGTGTTACAACCCCCCAGGGTCAAAATGATAACAGGACAACCCTTCACCAACAGTTATATTCATCTGGATGTCTAAAAGTTGACATTATAAAGGCTTACTTTCAGTTATTGGTAGCTAATATGTGCTGCAATGTGTAGTAAAAAAATCCCTGAACAACACATAATAGCAAATATTTTCTCTCATTTTATCCTCTTACACTTGTATTCACTTGCTGCAGCATTAATTTTTAATGCTTGTTGCACTCCATACCAACATTCGCTCAATTTAATATACTGGTTTACTCTTTTCCTCAAGAATGTTTCATGTTTCCAGCAAAGCATAGCAAGATTTCTTTCATTACAAGCTACGAGCAACATGTGGCAGAAGTGACACTGAGAACTTTGTGAAATGTGTAAATGAAGGTCACACTCCCTTACATAACAGTTCTTGTGACAATGCACAGAGGGAGAGGTCAGAAATGAAGAAACTTGGTGGACCAGTAAGAATGTAAGCAATTTTATGGCAATTTATATATAGTGAACGACTTAACTGATAGATGCTGTCATTCATACATCAAGTGCAGGAGCAGTTGATGGAAAAAGCAACTCTCCATTGATGGTCTTTTACAAGATTTCCTGGCTAATGAATTTACCCAAAATATATTTCTGTTGACATATGTGCAAATAATTTGGTCTCTGTTTGTTTTCATGGTATGAGCTAAAGTTAGTGGGAGAAGTTAATATTAAATATTAGTACAAAGGATATGATACCAACATGATAATACAAAGAAGGCTTGTTTGGCACTAAATAATCACTTGTTTTTTTAATTTCAAGGTATAAGCAGATGTGATTATAAAAACCACAAATATCAAAAGCCTTGCATAATTAAATTCTGGCCATCATCTCGGCCATGTCCAGACAGCTTCCTGCACCGGTGCTATTTTTAGATCCCTCCCTGGATGTCTTGTTCAGACTTACAAGTTATGTGTTACAATTTTACCATGAAACTCAGACATGGGAGGAAAACACATATGAACTTCTGTTTGACCCAAAATTCGTGTGGAGAACTGTCAGTAGTGATACGTGCTGGGTCCCTGGCTATGGCCTAGTAGTTTTCCACAGTTTTTAGCAGACAAGTCCACAAGCCCCAAAGGCAATTAAGCAATTGAAGAATGAGAGAAGAAGCATATGCTTTTGTCCCCACCCCCCCTTCCCAACATTCATTGGGTTATGCACCACAGATTCATTTCCCAGGGTAAGACTGTAAATGTAGAGTTCTATTGTAACATCCGGAGGCATCTAAAAGAGATCACTGGGAGGAAATGATCTGAGCTGTGGTTTCATGGCAGCTAGCCATCGCCTGCTGTTTTTCTGGCCATGCCGATATAATCTTTGCCCACCACCTTGGACTACTTTCCAGGAGATGCATTGCTTATCGCAGAGGAACACAACGAAGCTTTAACAGGTCCCCCCCCCAAGAGATCTAAAAAACATGCAGCTGCACTGAAAACAGTCCAGAAGTGCATGAGAATACAACCCTGAACTTGAGAAAGGCCAAATTTAAATCATGCAAGGCTTTTGATTTTTATGCACCTGCTCTCAGAGGTTTTTTAACACACCTTGTACATCATTGAGTTTGGGGTCTCTTAAACATAAATCTTGGATAAATACAGTTGTAGCTTGAATCAAAAGATAATAGATGAGATGTGTGATTCTTTATAGAGATAGTACTTTGTGCATTCCTAATTTGACTGTAGAATTGTTTTACAACTAAGCTGTACACAGGTGAAGTCAGCCAAACCCTGACCAAGTTACAGGGTTTTGCAAGAATTTATGTTCTTCTGTTTGCTGATTACCACCTTTTGTGTGTCTTTTTTTTTTTGTTGCCTTGAATAGTACCTGCATTAGGCTGTCTAGGTAACAGACAGAGGGTAACAGAAGATTTTGCAGTGCTAGTCCCTGTCGAACTCCTAACTCACCCAGTGAGCACCCTAAAGCCTGTCTGACAGCCGATAAGGAAAAGGTTTCTAACTTTGCCATTACAAATGCTTTACCAGACTGCAGTCTACGAGGAGATGTGAGGATTTACGACTCACTTTGAGGGGAGGAGGGAGGGGACATCTTTGCTCATCCATTCTGTAACCCTGTTAAGATGAGAAGGAAAAAATAGACAGGATACTGATGGCACAGGTAGGATATCTAAGCAGCTGGTTGACACATATACAAAGAAATACAGATTCAGGACAATGCTGGCTGTCAGTACCTTATGCAGCAGCATAATGCAAGGTAATTTTACAATACCTTCAACAGTTCATTGTGACAGAAAATAATCTAGATCACCAGAGAAAGGTGATTGAAATTACCAGAGAAAGAGGAAGTAAAGCGGACCAAGGAATTAGAAACTATAGTAGACAGAAAAAGCGGCAAGAACAGAAAGAGTGCGTCCATCAAGCTATACAAATGATTTCACTATCCACAAGTCTACTCAAGGGCCATAATAGGGTTATAAATAATCTCTCTCTTCTTATTCTTTCATTGACTAACGCTGACAGTTCCTAAAACACAGAAATATTTCCTGATCTGCATATCCAGGCAATTTTTTGTCTAAAGAAGACAAATCAAAGGGAAAGTGCACATGTGTTCACCAAATCTATTCTCTGAAAGCTGTTCATGTTTTCACTTCCATCATCCACTTGACCCTTCTGTGGACGGTACAAAAGACTATATAAGTAATATGTATCTCACCTCATGCTTTTTATGCCTGCGAGTCTTTCAGCACTACAGCTTCATGGATAAACCAGTCGCATAGCCTTTATAGCACTTTTGTAAAGCTAAATAATGATTTTGTGACTCTTGGGAATAAGATATTATCACAGTAGACCATTTAGATTAAAATAGCTTCCTGTGTTGACATACTTTGATCCCTAAAAAAAAACATCACGTAAGATGAAATACCCTTTCTCATTTTATAGGCTACCTATTCAATGCTAAATAATGTGGTTGATGCCTACATAATTAGACTCTTTTTGAACAACCCGTTTTAATGGTTTTGCTTTCTTTCCACTGCCTTACTCAGTATCTGGAGTACTTGCTTATAATTTGTGCTACACTGAAGCACTAGCTCATTGGCTATAATAAAAACTAGATTTCTACAAGTCAAGTTACTTGATGACACAGATGTGAAGGGAAAACACAAAGGATCTGTTCAGCACATTCAGAAGAATAAGGTTTCTTGCTGCAAGAAGACACATTAATAGTAAATACATGGACACACAGTGTTCCTGTATAGTGGCGTTACAGTGCTGAATACAAAAATAGCAGGAAAAACAGAAAAAAAGTGGAGTCTCAAAATAGAAGTAAATAGAGATTTTATGTCCAAAGTGAAAATTCTGAGTCTGTGAGGGAGAACGGGTTTAAGCAGAAAGCTGAGCCAGTAGAACATTTACAGTACCTGCAACCTCTCGATCATGGCAAACAGGTCCGAGGTCTGGAGGAAAGAAATCCAAAGTAGTACATGGTTTTAAAAAGGGTATATTTGTGGTGATATGCTTTCCTTCTCGGTGTTTACTTTGATTTCATCTCTGCTGAGTGAAAAAGCTTCCTGTGCACTCTCAAGGCAAAAAATTTCCTGTTGGAATCCCTGGCACTATTTAACGCCTCATTTTAGTACACCCTAACGCATCCCACTTGACACCAATATCACTGAGGCTCCCTTCAGTGCCTGGAGAATTCCCTCGCTCCTCCACGCTTCAAGACAAACACACTGTAAACAAGTAACTCTTAGGGGGAAATGAGCATCAAAGCTCCATGGTGCTTCTCTCTGTTGCTAAAGCCAACAGCTCATCTGACTCTGCGCAATTAGCTGGAAGACACTCAGGTTTTGGTGTATGAAGCACACAGTCACATCACATGTGTGAATGAGACACACTTCACACTACAACCTATCAGGCAACAGGAAGAGTCCAAAACATGACATTAAAATAAATTATCATACATGATCTGGCAACTCTGTTTGATATCAGCCATGGTGTAATCATGATGCTTGGTAATGAGCACGTGTCCACTTAGGGAATTGATACTAATATTGCTAATTAGACACACAGATTTCAATGCCACTACTGGCTTTTCATAACACCCTAAATAATATACTTTTGCTCAATTAGGAGAATCACTTGTTGAGGTTAAGCAAAAGAAAATGGCCTTAGGCATGCACCCTCATCTGCAGAGGCCACATTAAGGATTTTAAGCAGCTCCAACCTGAGCTGAAGGAGGAGAGAACTGCAGCAGCCCTGACAGCAGTGCCTGTTGTGGGGCGAGCCCTCTGTTCACCATGTAACACAAGTGGACTGAAGTGCCAAGCTGATGTTTCCACATGACAGATTAAATTTACTGAGGAGCACTGCAGGGGCTTGCTAAACACACACACACAAACACTAACACACACACAACAACAGGATAGAATACACATGTATGCATACAAACATTTCACACATGCATGTGCTAAAATATACTTGCAAACTCATACATATATACGCCTCCACCCATGAAAGCATGCTTCACAAATGCACACACATCTGATCCTGACCTAGTAAAGCCAAAGGTGCAGCCCCAGTCTATTGTTCTATGTGAAAATAAACAGTGCCATATGATATTCAAGGAGATACTGCTCTCTTGACTGCAAAACAAACATCAACAAACACTGTCCTAGGCTGAACAGATTATCAGTGAACCACACAGACTCCACAGCAGCCACGTCAGTGCCGAATTCTTTTTTTTTTTTTGAGAGAGAGAAAAAGAAGCGGCGCACTCCCAAATTGTGGAGGCACTCTATGAGCACAGCAGCACACAAATCCTAACAATGCAAGGAAAACCATCTTATTATGAGACATACAAAATATTTACATAATGAAACCAGGTTACCAAGGTATTTGCTATTAACAGTTTCTTCCTAAAACAAAAAGATCAGTGAAGTGTTATCTGTCTGTGCAATTAACACAATTTCATTACTTCCTTTTCTACAACACCACACATACTATATTTATATTTGTGTTCCCGAGCAAACTTAAGAGTCAAGCAAGACAACAGAAATAACAAACTCAGTTCCAGCAAATGAAAAATACTCACATCACTTAAGCATCGTCTCTTGAAAAAAGGCTTATTGGGGGGACTACTGAGCAGTCTATCCAATAAGACATTCTCAGCCATCCTGAGCTCCGTCATTATTCCACAAGTACAGATGCAGTCAAGCTGACAAGAGCGAGGGTGTTGATGTCACTGTCAGCCCCAAGGAGAAAGGCGAGCCTGACAATGACACTTTACATTCACTGTCGCTCAGCCAGTGGATTTGTGGGGAAAAAAAAACAACTTATAGCTGTCCATCAAAACCCATATCTGTGTGTGAGGTAAAAGCAGCATGTGCTGTAATGTGAGGATATTGTTGCCCTTCCTTCCCCTTTTCACCCCCCACACCCAACCCTCCACACCCCCACACCCATGGCAAATAGAGCTATGGTAAAGGAAGTAGGACGAAGGGAGGAACAATGTTGCTCCCCTCCCTTTGTACTCTGTGAAACAGTCTTCTCTTTTTCGTGCACACACACTTGCATGTGGACTTAAAACTGCATAGTTCTCTTTTTGCTGTATCACAATATGAGAACATTCTCTTCCTCTTTTCATTCATCTCAAATTTCTCAAGTCATGAGTCTCATCATCTCTTTCCCGTTATATAACTAAAGACCAACCTTACAGCTCGAGTTTCCCTGTGGTTTGCACTTTGAGAATCACTTCATTAAAAGACAAAGTAGCCCAAAATAAATGAAAGAGAAAATCAAGAAAAAAGACGATGAACAGAAAGAAAACAACAACGTGAAAGCTCAAAGCTTGCCTCCACTGGGGTAAATAAGTGAAGCTAAAATCTGCTCAGCAAACCTCAGCAATTCTAAAAATCATTTGTGCATAGTTAAAGATGGGTATGACACAAGAGTACAAGAGAAAGTAGAAGAGAGAGAAAGAGATAAAAAGACCAGGGAGGCACTCTGGGATGAAAGGGAAGCTGTTCCTTACGAGCAGAACTTTTTCTTGGCTCGTCTCTTGATCAGGCCCTCCTCCAGTATCAGATATCTGCACTGACCCACTTCAAAAACAGAGGGAAGCTTTCAAAAGGATACATTTTAGCAATATACAGTATAAAAAGCATTTATATTTTACAATCAAGGATGAACATAGCCACTGGTCTTCACTGATTACCTTTGAGGAAAACTAAAGAGTATAGGGTGACAGGATGACATGGTTTGAACATCTCGTATACAGAGGTATACATTCAGTAGAGTGATACTGCACCATGCAGTTTAAACACTATCCCGAGGGTGCATTTTATTACTTTTTAAAATATTTATTAGCTAATCTAATTATTCAGAAACTGGCTTTAGCACTAGTTCACTTACAAAGTTACACACTTGCCCAAATGTCATGTAACAGTGGTAGATGACAGCAACGAAGTTGTGGGCAGAGAGTAGTGAACGCTATTCAGATTCACAATTAGTGTTAACATTGTTTCAGTTACAAAGCATACTGACTGTAAAGTCATGCTGGTGTGTGCAACATTTTAGCTTAAGTCGGTGGGAAATTCAACAAGCTGTTGCACAATCTTGATTTTAATAAGTGCAGTATTTGGTGTGATTTTAAGGAACAGTGTTTACTAAAAAAAAATGCTGTTGGTTGCACTTCCACTCTTCAGGACCTTCAGTCTTTTAAGCTGCTCTTTTGTCTCTGCCCTTAGAGACGGTTTGGAGCTGCTGCAGTGAATGTACTGTTAGCAGGAGCTACACATCTCTTTTTCTTTGAGTTGATTATAGCCAATTGCTGGGCCTCAGATAGAGTGTGCGAGTGAAAGAGGCTGAATAATCAACAAATTCATTGATTGACTGATTTGATTGAATGGCTGTGTACATTTAAGTATAGTATGTCCATGAAAACATGTACGGACTATTTACATCAATGACCCATACTATCCAGACTTTTATCCTGCTCTGATTCAAATGCTTACTTCTCATTCTAACTATTCAAAACTAGCGCCTTTTGGATTTTGACAAACAAACTGCCAACATATGTGTCGAAACCAATATTCCCACACCTCTTCACACTCTTTTCATTTATACTCTGTGGGTTAGCTGCTTTCTCAAAGGCAAATCCTTGAGTAAAACAGAAAAATAAACTTCAAGAGAGTCGACCAATGGGCAGAGAAGCCTAGTATTTCAGCCAGAGAAAATCCATTGTGGTCCATTCATCGGGTCTGGCGCAAACTAGCCTGACCTTGCTGTGGCCACATTGGCCTCAGGGACACAAATGGAGTTCACACAGATGGCCCATTCCACTCCATCAACGCCTCAGATGAGTTGGTTGATTGCCACAGAGGTTAAGGTCTGCAGAACTTCTGCTCAGTTCTCTGTATGTCCAAGCAGGTTTCCTACTGTCTCACTCCAGTAAAAAGGAAAGAACAAAACATTTAGACACAGATATCCAGCAAGAAAAAAGATAATGAAATTTTACAAGAGTTTAATTAATTAGTGCTCATCTATTAATGTTAAACCGAAAGTGGTTAATGACATAATTAAAAAAAAGTACTCAACCAATGCAGCAGTTTTTATGGCGCTTTTATATGAGATAAAGTTTTATTTTTTCTAATCATTCGTCTACCCGTTGCACTGCATCTTGGCTGCAGAGAGTGTATTGACATATTTGAGGGTAAGAGGGTGTTACACTTGGAGCAGCTAATGTAACCTCAGTCACAAATGAGGAGTAGTTCACAGAGGTCCGCTAAGCATTTTTTTTTAAATGTCAAAATCTTCAAGTTTATTCCCCTTTCTTAAACTAGCACTTTTTAGCTCCCTATGCAAAGTGACATTTTTACATTTATCACCTGAGGCAATATATCAGGCTTTTCCCAGCTCCCATTGGAGTCCTGAGGCTTTTTTTTTGGTTTTACCTGCGAAATATTCTTATATAAGACCTGAAACTGTACCAAATCAGAGTTTTATAATCATCAGAGAAATCACTTCATAAACATGTGCAAATGCATTTGTGAATCTGAAAAGGGATTCCTGTAACTATGCAGCTATGTCTGTAAGCAAAGCTTAACAGGCCACCATTAGTGTATTAGTATACCTCATATCAAATGAAAACACACAATATGCACTTAATAAGTTGCATTCATTATACATTTCTGTGATTCATCTAATGTGGATTTGTTTTACTTAAGGGGCTTTTAACTTCAACCACTAACATTTTCTATAGCGATAAAAAATAAAGCATTACAATATTAATTAACTTCATTGTTTTAACAGCACTAGTGGGTTGAACCTGTTAACCTTTATGTATACATACTTCCTGTAAGTAATCCATTTTGGAAAAAACAAAAAAATAACAGCTCACTCTCGCTTCTTTCCATTTGAGACTGTGGAAGTATAAATAGCTCTACATTTTGACACAACAAACCACATTAAGAAACAAGAACATCATTTAAATAATTTGAACAGATGAAATGCTAAATCTATTCCTGAAAATCCATATGTAGATTATTAATGCCTTGCAAACTGTATTTCCCTTACAAGCATGACAGAAATACCCCCACTGTGCCTACACTGGTATGTACGCTATTAGAGAGGAACAACTGCCACAGATCTATATTTGTCCCGTAAGCCTGTGACAGAGGGCACAGACTGTCAGGCACCACAACAGTCTGCCAACCGGAGCTACCGGGGGTGAAGGCAACAGAGAAAATTTTCACCTGGGGGTAACAGTTAAAGAATTTGATGAGCTAAAAAGAGAGAGGGCACCAATGAAAAATTAAAGACACAGATTAAGGGCGAGATGCATGTTACATATATAACATTTCATATGTAGCCCAGTTTCAGAGTAACTAGTTGTTAGTTTTATTTTACATCTCCTACTGTGAGGGAATTGAGATGCAAATAACGTGCAAGATGTAAAATTAATCTAAGAAGTGTAACGACTTGCAAATTATTTTTGCAAATCTCATAAACCATATCAATTGTTTAAACTGAAACCATTACTTTTTAAAGAAAAATACCAAGATCAGGCTCCCAATTTTAAATTCCTGAATATCTCATCATCTGCAGTGCACAATATCATTAAATAGAAGAGAATCTGGAAAGATCTCTGTGCAAAAGTGGAAAGGCTGAAAATCTATATTGGATGGAGATTTGCTTTCATTGCATTCTGTTTGTATTTAAACTTTAGTAAATGTAATGTCAGATTGAGCTTAAAAAACTGCAATGTTAGTAATAGAAACATGTCACTCCAACCAGTTGTCACTGCGAGCTCTTCATACATTAATGCCTGGCTGGAACCATCAGATTTCATGGTGCTGGTATTTAGTTGTACCAGTTTGTGATCTAGTCCCTACTTACTCCCCATGCCTTGACATGGATTTGAGATCAGAGTGATCAGAGTGAACCCAAATTCAGGATAACTAAAGTATACGATGTACAGAAAAAAAGAGCCTTTATTTTGCTGATTAATCACAAGTCTGGAACAAAGGAAACACACAGCAGCTCTAGAGAGAATACATGTCAGCAAGACAGGAAGCACAGATGATCTGACAAGATAAAAAGGGAGACAGACGTATTAATACACAGTGGGCTGGTTAGTGAATGTCCAAAAGGAGGATAACAAGACACAGGTGAAGACAGTCAATTGGAGGGACGATTGGGAGGAAATAGAGAGGAAGAAAAACTAACACAGGACAGGAAAGAAAACAGATCTTCAAAGTAAAACTGCAAATAGCCAAAGGAGACTGAGAAAGACATTCATAATAACGCAACAAGATTTGCAATGAAACACAAAGGACCCAAGGCGCAAACACAGAAATAAGACACGGGAGGCACACTTGATACTACAACTAATAGATGAGGTGTGAATTCAGTATCACAAGAACTACAATTCACAGTAATTAGAATAATAAATCCTGAGTGCACTCTCTGGCTGCTACTGTTTATTTCTAATGTGATAGATGCACATTAGAGCTCTGAAACTTTAAACTGGTTACATTTAAACATTAAAGTCACATAATAAAGGAGAGATGGAAATAGTTTTAGTTTGTTGCCAGATCAAATGAATTAATTTTATTGATTAAGCAGGTATTCTCAGGTGTGTGCTCTGTATTATAAAAGCTGCAATTCCAGCAGCGTAAAACAAACTCAGCAACAGATTAGAATCAAGTAAACTATAAAAACATTCTTACACGTTCTGCATCAGCACCTGAATGCATGTATATTCCAGTGACAATGCAATCCATAGTTGTTGCTGCTGTAACTTTACAGCTGGACCTCATTTCTGATATTTTAGAGCAAGGCACAGCTTAATAACTTGCACATAGAAAATATATTTGCACAGCAAATCTTTGTTGCACTTAAAACATGCTGTGCATAAAAGAAACCGTGAAAACATGGTGCTTTCAGATGGTTTCCAAAAGCAGCATGAATCAAATTTCCGAACATAACCTGCTCAAGACCAGGCTATGAGTTCAGAAAATGGGAGCCCCTTTTCATACGCAAGGTAGACCAGCACACTTCATTAAAAGTCCTTCAGTTTCTAAAAAGACACCATAGGCCTACAGGTACAAGTGATCTGCTTGTGTTGTCACTGCCTCAGGATGTTTTACTGACGTAAACCAATAAAGGGAGAAGTTTACCTTCTAATGTACGCATTGTAAGAAAGGATATTTGAACACAATATTTTCCTTAATCTTGCAGTAGTTAATTGGCTCAACCTGAACAAAAAGTAACAGAAAAAAAGGAGATGGAACATAAAAGCAGTGGTCTCAGACAGGAGTCACACTCCTTTCTTCCATGTCAGGCTCTATCTTTTTTTTTTTTCATTGTTATTCTTTCTTATCCAGTAAAATTGTATTCTGGAGCAGTAAACCGCACATCGAAAAGTGACAGAGGTCCTGACCAAGCGTCAGTACGTGAGAAAATGAGAGTGAGAATGTGCTTGTGTGAAATTTAATAAAAGCTGAATCACTAAGACTTCTGTAGCCGTACATACTTTTAAAAATAATTTTCAGTTTGGCCAAGCAGAAGTTGCAACAACCTATATGCACCAATTATTTCAACTGCTGTCAAACTCTAAAACTGTTTCTTTGTCGGCTGCTGTCAGCTGTCACTGCGGTGTCTGACTGATGCAACCAGCTCCACCCCATTGATCTCTAGTTCCATCACAGCCAGCTGTCCAGTGGGTCCTTTCCATAAGATAAAGAAGTGTACTCAAAACCACATCCATAGAGCCTTACTCAGTCTAGCGTACAACTTCATGACGGAGTTTAATCACATTCATTCCCTGCAGTGCACACTATATCAAATGCACAATTACTTTAAATATATTCCAAATGAAAAAAAGGTCTTTGGAAAACATATAGCAGGATTAAATCATCATTTGTTTGCTCTTCTCACTGAAACATTCAGACACACAGGGGGATCACTAGGAAACAGTAATGTCATTTTTCATGCCGACAGGTTGGTCTATATGACAATATCTTGACACGACCTTTTGACTTTTAATACCACCATACTCATAAGTGTGACAGTATTAATTAAAGAGATATTAATCAGGGCTCTAATTCTTATCCCAGTAAATGCTATTAATCAATCATGCATAGAAGGGGATGACACGTTATGCCACAATTACTAATATTATCAATGGAACTGAGTTAACCGTAACTTTAAGTGGTAAAACCCTCAGTTTCACATTGTTCGTGTGGGATTCTTGGCACTGTGTCTGAATGCAAATGCAAACCTGATTAAGGAAAAGAGTAGCAGCAGCAGGTCAAAGCCTTGTATTACCTTTGAAAGTGAGGGGGAAAGAAATGGAGGGCGGGAGTGTGCTAGTGGGGGCTCTACTTCATCAGAGATACGACGGATCCTTCCATCTTGTTTCCTGTAAGTCAGAGAAGGTGGAGGGGGGTATGGGGACAGAGAAAGACAAAGAGGTTACTAGTAGCCATAAGTCAAGTTTCTAACTTAAGCAATAAGTGCATGGGAAAAAGCCTGCAATGCAATTGACACTTCCTACAAAAGCTATTATTACACCACAGTGTAATCTTTTTTTGGAAGTATTTGAAACCCCCCATCCATTGTGTTTACTTATTGTGCTCACAAGCAAGGTTGAATCTGGTGAATGTATTCAGAGGCAAGACCTTGAATCAGAAGACATTAGGAGAACTACACAGAGGAAAATGTAAGTGTGGAAATGAGGTGAAACCTGATGAAAATAGATATGAAGCAGAGGAAGAAAGTACCCTTCAGCTTTCATCTGCTAACCCACTGCTTCTTCTCTGTTCTTCTCTACCCTTTTTCTTCTTTGTGTGATTGGAGTGAATTACCAGTCTGACCAGGATCCTGGTCACAGCATATTACTTCACACTTCGTCTCACACAACAGTCAGTTGCTAGAACTGGCAGCCCGTCTGTGCATGCATCCTGTTCGCAAACCTGCAGCAGAGGGCATTTCTAAACACTGCTTGGGAGCAAAAGAAACAAAGAACAATAGCACAATCTGATTCTTTGTGAGAATTCAGTGAGAAATGGTGGAGATGTGTGCACTCACTCTCACATATTTCCATCATTCTGCCATTTTGGCACACGCCACAGTGGTCTAATGCTACAATAAAAATGATTTACACAGTGCTCTTTCTTCCGAGACAAAATCTGTTATTAGTTACTGCAGCACCTTGCCTATGTTGTCTGAATCTATAAGTCTGAGTAAACAGAGCTGCACTTTTATGACAACAGACTGCTGACCTGGAGCTGAGGTTAGGAAATATATTTATAACATAGCACAAAAACAGTACTTTGTTCTTTGTTCTCTGATATCTGCTGAATTCAGGGAAATAACTGAAAGAGGATGCCTGATCCTTTTTTGCTGGATCCTCAGCTTCTTAGAACTGACATTCCTTTAGAGTGTGAACACTGATGTTACATCTTTCAGAAAATACAGCTCGAACACAATAAAACATGTCAAATGCCGCGTGGAGCAAAGAGTGATGTATCAAAATCTGCCGACAAAGAAATGGCTTACTGAGTTTAAAAAGTCAGAAATCTGCATAGGCTAAGGTGACATTTTTGCTCAACTATCCGTATATTAAAAGACACAAACACACACACAGACTTTGGAAGGTGTTTTTGTTTTACTTCAGAGAATATTCAATTATTTAATTTACATTCATGCATTTGCTGAAGTTTCACTTAATATAAATGAAAGCGACCAAGCAGTGAACCTGGCTGAAGTTATGCTCTTGTCTCTCTAAATAAACTTGCATCTTATGCATGGGAGGTTTCCGTTATCAGTTAGCTGTCTCCATGCTAAATATGCACGAAGGTGACTTGAACCAATAAACCAGGAACAAATAAAAAAAAAAAACAGCCAAACAAAAAGAAGTTGTGTGTGTCAGTTTCTACCATCACCAAAATGATTTATAAGGCAGATAATCAGCGTAGATTTACTGATGGGGTAAATGAGGTAAGCTTGATTCAATGAGACTGGACTGCAGCATTCTATTAAAGCAAGCACATGTTATCAAATACCACAATCCTGACATGTGACATGATAACACTGCTGCTGTGAAGGCCTGAGGTTCACTGGTGAAGGGAACATTCACCAGGGATGTTCTGCATTCTCTATTCGTCATTTTGGTTAGACTCTCATTTCTGTGAATTTTGGCTAACAGAAAGCTACAAATTGGTTTGTTCACATTGTATTGTTGAAAAAAATTACACAACAATTACAATACTTGGGGCTGTGGGGTTTTTTGGTGAACAGTTACCACCGCGCTATTCATTCATTCATTATTGCGATAATGTTCCTAATGTAGCATCTCAATATGTTTTAGCGACCAGGATTTCCCCAGTTTGTTTGATCTTGTTCCATTTCACACACTTCTTTGACCGGGGAGCAGTACTGTTGCACTCTTGGTGCAGGAGCACCTGCATGGTTGTAGTGTACCAGGATGGACCACAGCTTGGTTAAAATCTTTCCACTGGTTCTTGGGTGCCATGGATGAACACTTCCATCTGGGAGATCTAACAGCAAGTGCTTTGTAAAGCAATCAGGCTACATTTGACAGACATGCCTGCATCGATTTTTCTGAATTAGAGTTGCAACGGTTGCTTGGTGTGCACAGTATTGGCATACACAGGTGCTTGTAAGGTGGTTGAGCAGACTGACAAAGAGGATTTGGTGCGAGCGTTTCATCTGGAAGGCTTTAACCTTGCCCTTCTTGTCCTTCTTCAGTAGGATTCAGCACACAAAACCATAAAGAAGTGCAGCAATAATAACTGTGCTAAAGACTCACATTTTTGTTTGCATAGAGACGTTCACGCTAGAACCCATGCAGTAACGGAAGTTGAAGAAAGCATAGACTTGTCTTTGCCAATATGACTACTGATCTCATCAGACGTTTGTACTTGAGATGTTGGAGCTTCCTGGCTACTTCAAGAGACTCTGGGGCAAGAATGATGGCAAGTACTGCCAAAGCTAAGAACTTGAATCTTTGGGGAGCCAAAATGACTCAAGGCTGTTTCTAATTGAACACTAACGGTATGCATGAGCTGTATCATCTCTGCAAGGAAGGCTATATTATTCACATAGTTCTTCTACATCACATAGCATCTTCTAGATGCATAATTTTTTTTAAACTCTGAAGGTGGCTACAGTGACTGAACTCATGACCTAGTCAATTAAAACATTAAAGATGTTAGGAGAAAGGGTAGAGACGGCTATCTCGTCTCATAACTCATGATCCTGCAGGAATTACATTACGGATATATTTGATACAATTTTAAATTAATTTAATGTGACCAAAAGTCCAAACCAGGTGACTTTCATTTACTTTTGTAGAAGACAGTTAGATGTGTTTAGTGATGACAACCCCATGGGAGAAGACACTGAGTCACAGAAAGACTAGAAAATCCAAGAAAACAAAACAAAACACAGGGACCACAAGAGGTAGAATAAACATATAGACTCACAAAAGACTGAAGGATACCTACAGAGAGCTGTAATTACACAGGAAACTTATTAGGAATATGCAAACCAATTAAGGTAGGGCAGAGAGGCAAGGGCACAGAAAGCAGGACTAAATGGCGGAACGAGAAACACAAATAAATGAGTACAATTGAAGCCACTAAATATTTCAAGGCCTCTGACAGTGGATTATGCAGAGTGTCAGACAGGCATTCAAGAGAAAATAGATGGTGATTCCTTTTTTATCATGGATGGATGGATGAATGCCCGTTCAAGCAGTTTGCTTACAAACAAGTGTTATTTCTTAATATTAAATGCTACACAGCTTCTCTCATTCATTATATAAAATGGGCCACAGTTACACTAAATACTCTGCTATGTTTGAATGCGCTCTGGATGTAGAACAGGTCACGCCTTTGAACAGCAGCTGGCAGATGTGAGGGTCACTGTGTCATGGTGGTTGGGTGACTGGAACACAGGAAGCTCAACCCAAGAAACACCTATCTAGCTAGGTTAAACAGTGTGAGCTGCCCTGTCTATTGCCAAACAGCCAACCAATGATCCCAATTGAAGGGTTTATTCTTTATCTAATTAATTATTTGCACACTCGTATTATTTAGACATATGTGTATACAAAGAAAAGGGGGGAAAAGACAGAGAAAGAAGGTAAATCATGACTTATCACTTTCTCTCCTCTGCTGAGCAAAACACATTGCTCATACCAGTGTTAATAAAAGATCCTTGATCATCTGCTTTTATGGGCTGAGCCCACAGTCACCACCACAAACATAAATTTGTCATAGTTTTTTCTTCTTGACAACACATTCATCTCATAGTTACACCTATTTCTCTGTGGCATACATGCTGTGCACAAAGCTTCTCTTTTTTTTCCTTTTTGAGGTTGAATTCTTGTTACAGCTGGAACTGTATAAAGATGTGTGTCACCTAGCAACATCACCTAACCCCTGAATCACTCTAAGATGCTCCATTTAAAGAAAATAAGCCCAAAATCTAGGTTACACATGAAAGTTGGGAGAAATTAAAATAAATATGGGCACTATTAATAAAGATAGTCTTTTTTTTAAACAATTACCTCCAGTTATCCAAGTAAAACATATTCTTGATTTGCTGAATATTATATAGGACATGTATAAATGATAAATAATTATAAATAATTACCCAAATATGCCAGATATGCATTTTAATTTCAAATTTCTTTGGCTAACAGACTGTAAAAAGGAAGTTAAACAGCATGACACAGAGCCACTTTAAGCTTTCATTTTTGACACACTGATAACACCTAATAATAACTGCAAAATGCTCAGTCTATGCAACACTACCGATGATACCATAGACAAACAGTGAATCTGCATAAGAACCGATACTGATCTTCAGGCCTTTTAATTTCTGGATTACAGTCTTATTCTAATTTTATTCTTCATTTCTGCTCCCAGAAGTTTCTAAAATGGACACAAAGCATTCTGAATCTAAATCCACCAATTAATCCTGTGTTTACCAGCAGCAGCCTCCACGGACTGCCAGGTCATGAGCTCTGATAAGCATTCCAGCTTCCTGTTCTCCAACCAAGGCGCAGGCTGTGCGGCACCTGCAAATGCCAATGAGCAGGACAACACTGAATGCTCTACAAACTGGATTTAAAATATTATTTTGAGTAGTTTGTGTTTACAGGGGTACTGTAGTCACAGAGAGCATGCAGGGTCATGGTCAGACAAACAGAGGAAAACGCATTTATTTAGTTTATCAAATTAATAGTAAAATGTACTGGCCACGTAAATATGATTTCTCTTCTCTAAAAGTCACATTTGGATCCAAGACTATGAAACCATACCAGCAAAACTAGATGGGTGCCAAACTTCACACGAAGAAATAATACATAAATACAACACAAACACACATCTAAATCTTTAAGCAGCAAAATAATAACATCAATTTCACATTAATAGTTATTATAGCTCTGTTACAAACGCCCATATTCTCAAATAGCTACAGTTCTTTGCATACCCTCCGTTAAATGCAACTGATCTATTCATATACCGAGAAAAGCTGCAGTTGTAGTTAATGTTAGTTATTACAAAATTGTGAAATAAAATCAAACATTAACCTTTTGATTCACACCAAAATAATTGCAATGTGCTCTTTCGCTTGTGCTATAACCCTCTAAAGGTTTAATTAAAATTGGAAAGATTATTTTTTGTGTAATCTTGCTAACAAATAGGACAACAGGACAAATAAACATTATTTTACAGCTTGACACAAAAGTTAAAATATACTGACAATTTGTCATTTTCTGTTTATCAGTTGTCTAACAGCTCTGCCTTCAGTCAGCCTAAGGTCAGGTCTACAAGCATGAAAAAGCAGAAAATGGTTATCTAAAACGTTCATCTGAAGGGTCATCTGGGAGGCTCATCAGCGATAACCATCTACAGTGGTTATCAAACAAACAGTAGAGACCCCAGGCTAAATACTGGCTGAACATGAATATTGCACATGTCCGGCTCAATGATGCATTGTTTTTTTTGGCAAACAAACGATAACCACGGGCACTGCAGGAGGAGTCAGATATCATCTGGTCGAGTGCTGCTATGGTAGAGTAACCTTGCCTATTAATAGTACAGTAAGTTTATCCATTAAAGCTTACCATAATGGGTTTAGGAGACAACTTATGCACAGCAAGGAGACCTCGGTGCATTTTAAATGAGATCACAAATGCTACCCAGTGCTTTGTGACTAATGCCTAAATGAGGTAGGATTAATGTATGCAACAAGAAGAAATAAAACTTTTAAACTTACCTAAAATAAGAGCATCATAAAGATCCACCCAGTTGTGTTTGGTCCAATTAATGATTTTAGGTCATATAGTTAAATTAAAACAAAAATCCAATCCAACTACATATGCAATTTGCACAGACAAATATAGTTATGCATTTCAAATGCAAATCTCCCCACAAAAAGCAATAAAACAAATAAACCACCACTAAATAAAGTCAGCACAAGAACAACAGCCCCATTATCTAAACCACAACATATTTATTTATCCCGCTTTGCTTCCACTAGTACCGGGTGTAAAGCAGTAACTGTGTCATCATCATGTCAGCTTTTCCCTTGATGTGTCACCACAAAACAGAGCCTGGAGTTGCTGCAAAATGAGTGAACTAGAGACTTTGCTTTGGCAAAGCACAAACTCTGCGGACACGCTGGCACATTTTCTGCTTGATAACTGTTGACATTACAGTCAAACAAAACTCAAATGAATGTGAGCGCTCAAACAACAGAATGCTATTTTCCAATTCATCGTCCTTGGAGCGGCTTCAGGTTTCACTCTTCAATAGCTCTGCAGATTAAATTCTTGCTCTTGGCTCGGGCTTCGGAGATTCATAAATACTGAACAAAAATAATATCAGGATCACGTTTTAGCTTTAAGAGTAATGTCCTGCTTGGCTGCATCCTTCCTTTTACCAACAACAACACAGACATGGACATGCACACACCCACATGCACACACGCACAGCCTCAAAGAGACAAGTACACATAAACCCCTAAGCTTTGCAGGTCCACTTAGTAGAGAGCAACTAATCTAATCAAGTACAGCAGCTAATGCACAATGAAAGCAGAGTCATTTACTCGAGATGCCAGTCAGCCACTTCCTGGGTGGACTAGAGAGAAAGAGGGAAGGAGATAAAGAGAGCGAGAAAGAAAGTTCAACATTCAAAGTGGCATTTGATAAAGAGATCAATGCAGATCAGGATCAGACGGAAACACCTACACAAGAGTAAGACTGTTCTTTAGCCGTTTCTATTCTGTCATTCGCTTTCTTTCATCTGTCTATCTTGGGTTGAGTTTGGCTCAATTCATCTATCTTTCAGCAGTTCATCCTAACAGAGCCAGTGTGCTCCATCATCTCTTTCCATGCTTACCCGCCTGTAGTACTGGCTCACTTGCAGCTCAATCTCTCCTCAACAACTTGGTGTTCCTCTATGTATCGCTCTCTCCGTTTGTCTGACTCACTCTCTATCCTCCAACACCTGCTGTCGGAGATCAGCCTCTCTCCTGTCAGATGATGCTGAGAGCAGCCCTCCCTTATCCTCTCTCTCCGTCCTGCCCTCCCTGTTTTGCTCTCTCCCTCGCTTCCCATTCCTCACATGCATGCCAGCGTTTTCCTGTCTGGTTTTATTCCGAGGCAAGCACAAACGCTCTCTTCTCGCTGTTTCTTACTCTCCCTCCCTGCAAAGTATCCCCTTTGTTTTTGCGCCTTCCTCCCACTTTTTCTGATAATCTATGATCAAGATATGTCCATCCAAGTTTTGAGTGTTACTTTGCTTTGCATTTTCATTGCTTGTTAATAACAGATTCTATTAATTCAAAATGACCAAATGCTGCAGTCGGATGTTGGCTTGAAAGCAAGCTTCTATTTATTTATTTATTTTTATAAAGAAAAGGGACATTACCTAATCTGAACCACAATATCAGATCTCTCTGTCCTATTATCTGCCTCACTCTGACAGCTTGTTTCAACATCATAAAACCCCTGCTGCACAAATTAGCCTAACCATTCCATTGTCCATTTGACACAACAGTGGCAGGCAGTTAGCTGAAAAGCTCTCCAATGTTGCAGATTTTGAAGCAGACTCACACATAATGGAGAAAATCACTGGCTCAGCCCACAGAGGAATAAGCACAGGCACTGTTGGCTAATGCATTACTGAGTAATCACATTTTCCTTTTTGTTAGGAAGCTATAGACATGTTACAAATCAAGGTACAAAATCTCACACGGATGTTTGAACGACTTGAGTTATTTTCTATCTATGTATTTCACAGGGTATAGTATACATAGTATGATATATATTGGTGAATTTTCATACTCAAATCATTCATTGACCTTTCAGGATTACAAAACCTCTATCAATGAGGGACAAAAGACACAATTCTGGAAATAAACATTTCATCAGAGTTCATTCAGAATTTTTTTTTGTGACTGGCAGTAACACTCCCCTCTACAATGATGAAATTTTACTCTAATTTGGACTGTCACAATGTCCTCTTTTTGTTATTGCCAAAGCGAGGTTTACACTATCACAACATCTGTGGGAATTTTCTGAATAAAAGCTTTCAAAATCATCTTTAAATTGAGCACATTACTGGGCTGACCACAGAGTCAAGCTCAGTCTGCAATCCCAGTATATCAGCTGACAGCAACTCAGCTTAATGCCAAACCACATCAGCTGCTGCCTCACTTGCTACCATTCTTTATGCCTTTTTGGCAAACTTCACATAGACCTACATAGGTAAAAACTGCTTAAGCCTGACGACAGCTGCTGCTCTCTGCACGTCATGCTGTAACCCAAGACCAAACGAACTCCACCTTCCATATTGTGTCGGACTTAATCTGCTTTGTTCTTTGCTGGAGTCTTGTTCCTGTTCTCCATGTCCCAAGCAAGGTCATAGAACCAAATACACCAAGTCTTCTTCTGACCAAAGTGTATTTGTCTCTTTTGGAAATTAATTATACTCAAAATGCTAATATAGAGCGGTGAAGTAAGAGTCAAACTTTATTAAACTATGACGCTTATTATCAATACAACTAAAACATAAACAACATAACAGAACTGACTTTTCCCCTCCCCTAGTGGTCTAGTTTTCAGGTTTTTCCTTCCTTGTGTCCTCCTGCCCTCATCCTGTACTTTCCTCCTGTCTATAAGACAGTAAAGGACAACACTATGGCTACAGCACACAGTCACAAAAACTTCTATAAAAGGCATTCACTAGATTTCATATAATTTCCCAGCTTCTCATGTCCACCTCTCCGCACCAAATATAGAATAGTAGAAGAGAAGTGTTCGTGCTTTCATATTTTAGAAAATAAGTTATTATTCAAAATGAGTCACAGAAATTTTTTTGGGAGAGGGGGTTGTGACTCAGCTTTCTAACACTCAGTGCTATTTATACAAGACTATCCCACACATACAGCAGTTAGGAAGGTCTGATAAATGATCGACTATTTTAAAGAGAAATAAAGAAGGCTCTACTTTTAGAAAACATCACTGTCTAACTACTCACATATTTTCTATATGAAATATAAGCCAGGCTACAAGTATTACAAAAGCTGCAAGAGGATGTGACTCAAGGCTTTTGATGCTAGTTCACACCTACCACACCCATGAGAATATAATGTTCCGGGTAGCACATACACACTTACACAAGCCAGGGTGAAACAATGAAATGAACACAAAAACTCAGTTTTCATTTATTGCCCAGGAGATACTGTTACACTAGATTACCGATATTCTGCTTTTGTAGCAGATAAAGCTGTGCTACCAGCCACCAAGGAAAGATTCCCCAGGGTTTGCAGGAATCACCAAGACATAGTTGAGCCCCAACAGGTAGAGCAGAGAGGCAGCATGAAGCATACAGGTTAAGTACAATCAACACCTTTCTGCCTGTTAAAGCCTCTGAGCTGCCAGCGGGGTGGAGCTGGAGATGAAAGAGGATCTATGCTTATATGGGGCACAACAAATGGAAGTCAGGCTAGAAGCAGGTTGACTATACACATTATGACTACTTTTTTCTGCCCCTCAGAGTTAGTTTATGGGAATTCAGCAGTGTTAAGTTAACCATACAATTTGCAATTATGGGAGCAACTATATGTGGTTCATGCTGACTCTTTTTTTTTTCCAGTTCCTCTCTATGTATTTCTCACTGTGACTCTGTGTCTGCACTCAGTGCCCTCCTGAGGCAGCCTGACTAAATTTAACATTTACACACCACACACTGCACAGAGTATTCAGCATTTAAAGCAACACTGCTAACGTTTTAATTTAAAAGATCTTTTTTCCCTTTTGACATGACATATATACTCGCAGACAATAAGACATACTTGACTTCCTCCCTTAAAATGTTATGCAGCCATGTCAGTGTTATTTGGAGCTCCTCCCTCCATCAGCCTGCAGTTTTGAATTCTCCAGCACCTCTCATGTACAAACTTTACTGACCAATTGAGTATAGCTGAAATATTTTTAACAGTACCTTCTGATGAACCGTGGCTTTGAAAGACTGATCTCAGCTCTACCAGTGGTTTAGGAGCTCTGTAACCAGCACAAATATAATGTATGAGGCAGAGCCGTCAGCTTTCACGCCCCTCTTCTGCTGTGGAACCAGCTCCTAGTTTGGATTCAGGGACAGACACCATTGATGCTATTGAGATTAGGCTGAAAACTTTTCCTTTCCTTACTTAGAATGCAATAGGCCTAGGCTGCTAGGGGTTTCCCATGATGCACTTCTTCTTCACTCGCCTCTATTCTCTCTCTATGTGTTTATACACCACTTTTAACCACATTTAAACATTATTATTGATTTCTAGCTCTCTTCCACAGTGTGTCTTTTCTCCCTCCCCTTACATCACAATGACAGCAGATGGCCATCCCTCCCTGAGCCTGGTTCTGTTGGAAATTTCTTCCTGTTAAATAAGGGGGTTTTCCTCCCCACTGTTGCCAAGTGCTTGCTTATTTGGAGTTGTCTGATTATTAGGCTTTTCTCAGTATTTTGAATATAAAGCACCTTGAGGTGACTGTTGTTGTGATTTGGTGCCATATAGATAAAAATGAATTGAATAGTATCACATAATTATCATTAGTAGCATTAGGGTGGAGGGCGTGCCTTTGAACTTTTTTTTTCTTTGTAAGGTTGGAAAAGGAAGCAGTCCTTTCACAATAACAGTGTTGTCAGCACTCCCAGAACCCCACTGGCTCCCATAATTACTTAGATATTGTGTGCCCACCTCTATTGATTTTGGCAGTCATAATCTGGACTCAAACTGAGTGTGAAATCACATGACCATGGTGCGGCAGATACCATATGGTTGACAGATTACAGCTCATCCACAGCTTACAATACTGTAAGTCTCTGTTTTTCTGAATTTTATGAAGGTCTTTAGATTTAAATGAATTTTTGTATATCCACAAAATTAAACTTTTACGTTCAGTTTAGGCAAAAGTGGTTTTAAAATATTGTAATTTGTCCCTAAATAATACCATAGCCATGTATGGCTCATGTTAGTATTTTCTTCTATTTCCTCTAGGATTTTTGACAGTGATTTCGATTTTAATGTGTTTATTCATCTAATTTTCTTCTACCTGCAACTTATCACAAGTTTGCAAAGAGCTTTTACCAATGACCCATTAATACTTCCTTTTTAAATGTGTCAGGGATGTTTGGCTCACATGTGGAAAGCAATGAATACAGATGTTAGCAACAAAACCCATATCCTAAGTGGATGTTCCCCGATGTAACCCCAACAGCAAAATAAGGAGAAAATAAGTCATCAATGCAGGATGTTTCATTTAGTTTCTTTAAAAATTACAAATAACTTTGTCTCATCAGCCTTAACAGCTGAAACTGTTTAACGCAAATACACTTTTTTCACTTTTTTGTTAACTCAATAAAAGAAAACTGACATTTTTATAGTGACAGACTAAGTAACAAAACCTGAAAACCAAGTGATTATCTGGACAAAATGAAAAAAGAAAAATGTTTAATTAATTTAACACCATCAGCCTTTTCTTTTTTTAACATTTAATTACACTTACACGTTTTAGCTACACATATTCAACTGCTTATTAATGCGCATGAGACTTATTGCATGCACTTAGGCATGCAGATGGGGAAGAGGACTTGCAGAAGTTCAAACTGACCATCGGAATGGGGAAGAAAGATGATTTAAGTGAATTTGAATTTTGCCATTGTTGTTGTGCTAGCTTGAGAACTTCTGCAAGTGCAGACTGAGACTAGGTTCCAAGCAACCTTGTCTCATTTCCAAAAAATAATCAGTTAGCGGCAGTTCTATGGGTGAAAATGCTTCGCTGATGTCAGAGTTTAGGGCAGAATGGCCAGACTGCTTTAGGGAGGCAAAAGTAATTCAAATAACTCGTTACAACCAAGATATGCAAAAGAGGAGTTCTGAATCTTGAAGCAAATGGGTTACAGCAGCAGAGGCCTCCTGTAGCCTATACACACTGGGTGGCACTCCTGTCAGCTAAGAACAGGAAACTGAGTCTGCAGTCCACATGGATTCACCAAAACTTGATAAAAGAGACTGGAAAAAGGTTGCTTGATCTGATGAGTCTTGGGACACTTTGGGCCTCTTACTGATCATTGTTTAAATGCTGGGACTGACCTGAGTATTATTGTGGACTCTTTTTATGACAACACCATCTTCTGATGGGTACTTCCAGCAGAATACAGTAACACACCATTAGGGCTGGGCCATATCATACCGTTTACGATAATACCGGTATGTCGGGCAATGATAAGAAAATGAAATATCGCGATAGAACATGGGTAAAACGCGCATGCGCAGTGTTTTCATATGCGCATGGAGGAAAAAGCGTGCCGGTGACGGAGAATGAGAAGGGCGAAAGCAGATCGTTAAATGAAACGGATGAACCAGAAGTGGTTTGTAAAAATGCTGCAACTTCAGTGGTGTGGAACTGGTTTAGCTTTCGTCTGTCAGATACACAACAAAGCACTATTTTTCATAGCGCACGCCATATTACCGTGTTTTTTGGAAAATACGGCACACTTAAAATCAATCCTTTGATTTTTCTGAAAATCGACAGTGCTCCTTATAATCCCGTGTGCCTGTTTGGGTTTACTGACCTCGAAACGACTTTATGTGGTACACGGTGCTCGAAAATCTGTCAAATGTTTTAGTACGACTTTGCTAAGCTACAAACCCGCACCACTTGATGGATTGTCGGAGCATTACGGCTATCGTAGGCAGGAGCCTCGCGGAGCGATACGTACTGTGCTTCAACATAATATTACCGCATTGTGTGTCTATAACCTCTTTTTAAGTTTTGTGGATATTATACATGGTTATGCTGAGGATATGTTGGCCAGTTTCCACTGGAAATGCCTTTTGGTTAAACTGTCAGCAAGGAATTTGCATTTGCACTGTTAAATTTTTATATAACTTTAATACACATAAAAAACAGCTGCTTGTTTAAGTGAAAATACATTGATGGGGTTTTTTGCACTAATAAAGTTGTGGAGTTGTAAAGTATTTTGTCTAGTGTCAATTATATCGTCAGTTATATCGTTATCGCAAATTTTCAAATGTATATCGTGATAAATATTTTTGCTCATATCGCCCTGCTCTACACACCATGTCACAAAGCTCAAATTGCATCAAACTGTTTTTTCAAACATTGAGGTAACTGTATTGAAACATTATCCACAGTAACCAGATCTCAAAACTTTGGCATGTGGTCTAAGGCGAGGATCACATCATGGTTAAGCAGCCAACAAATGTGCAACAACTGCATGATTCTATCACATCAATATGGTCCAGAATCTCTGAGGCTTGCTTCAAGCTCTTTCTTTGATTCTATGATGCAAAGAATTAAGGCAGTGCTGAAGGCAAGAGGGGCTCAATTTTAGCAAGGTGTACCTAATAAAGTGTACCTAGTAAGATTGTAAACTTACACAACTACAAATAAAGTTTTAAAATCAATACCTTACACTTTCAGGGCCCTAATCATGAAGGAACAGAATCATAAGTGGATTGAAACAAACACCACTCCTAAGTTTCTGAGTGTCTCTCTGACTAATTGGGTGATTAGAGCTATTGGGATTTTATTGGCTTTTCCCTGTGGCACAAAAGGGCACAAAAAAACCAAAAACTAAACAACATAGTTAACTTCAAAAAGAGAAGGAAATGATACTTAAAGGATATGATGTGAAAAGGAAGAATATGAAGGAAACTGATGTACCACATAATAAAATGGTGATTCAGGCACACAAAATCAAGGTAGCACATGATAATTAGAAGTTGTTAAATTTACATGCATAATAAAAGCACGGAAGATGAAAAAAAAGAAAAAAAGCTCAGACCAATTATCACTACTGACGACATCAAGTGATTATGAGTCATTCTAGAAATCTCATCACCAAACGACATTGTCTTCCCCATTTTACAGACAAAAGAAAGTGTCACGCTTCATCTCCAGTGACAACCTGGGATTTGGAAATTAGCTTAGAAATATGTGACACTAATTGCATATACGTCATTGGATAAGTGTGAGGACTGATTTGATAGTGTCATTTAGAAACAATGCACATAACTGTCACAAAGCAAACCATTGATGCATACACTAGTCAAACAGTTATACTATTGGTATGATGCATAATTTCCTCCATCGTCATCATCGTCATTCGGCTTTTCTTTCTTTCATCCTGCTCACAGAGATATATGCAGGGGCTAATTGATGCGTCTCCTGATGTGAGATGTAATAGAGCTTGATTACATGGAGTTGACCTTCTGATAATTTGAAATGACTACAACATCAGGCACCATTACCCCCTCAATAAGCTCAAGCTTTTCAATTAATTAAATAAAAATGTCTTTATATTGAGACAACAGGGAAGAACGTGAACAAGATGTTTTTGTAATGAAGGTTTTAAAAGGTTTTAAAATTTCTGTACTTTTAGGTGACAGGAGACATGTGGCCTGGTCAAAACACAGAGAGCTGCACTCTAAAAGATCTTTAAACATAGTAAACATACCTTGTGTGCCACAGACTGCTCCCAAACACGAGGGGACAAGTAATACCTCTAAAACACTTAAGTTGGCTTTATTAAACGTTAGATCTTTAGCTGGGAAAACATTTTTAATTAATGATTTAATCACTGAGCACAGCCTTGATTTTATGTTTTTAACTGAAACTTGGTTGGACCAAAGTAACAGTGGAGCTGTTCTCATCGAGACGACCCCTCCTAACTACAGTTTTATCAGTGAGGCCAGGGTGAGCAGGAGAGGAGGAGGGGTTGCTGTCTTATTTAATGAATCATTTCAATGTAAGCAGCTATCTCCTGGAAGTTTTCAGTCTTTTGAATATGTGGCTTTACAGCTGAAGGCCCCATCCAAAGTTGTGTTTCTTAATGTTTACAGGCCTCCCAAATACTGCACAGACTTTTTTAATGACCTCAGTGAACTGCTGTCTGTGATCTGTGTTGATTTCGACTGTGTAATTATTGTTGGGGATTTTAACATCCATGTGGACAACCCTCAGGACAAAGGGACTAAAGACCTGAGTAACACTCTGGGCAACTTTGGGCTGACTCAGCATGTAACAGAGGCCACACATAATAGAGGACACACTCTTGACCTACTGATCTCCAAGGGCCTGAGCATTTCAAAGGTTACTGTGTCTGATGTGGGCCTGTCTGATCATTACTGTGTTTTCTTTGAAAGTAAAATCTCAGCCCACACAAATATATCAACAACAGTGATCACAAAACGGTGTATAACTGAACACAGTAGTGCAATCTTTAACCAGGTCTTCCCATTAACACCTGACCTGTCCAGAGGGTCAGTCAATGAGCTCGTCAATAGCTTCAATGCTAACATGTTAAATGTAATGGACACTATTGCTCCCATTAAGGTGAAGGTTATCTCTGGAAGGAAAAAGTCTCCATGGAGAAACTCCACACTGGTGAAAAATGAAAAAAGAGAGTGTAGGAAAGCTGAGCGCAGATGGAGAAAAACAAACCTCCAGGTTCATTATGACATCTATAAAGAGAAACTTCACAATTATAATTTACAACTGAGGAGTGCAAGGAGGTCCTACTTCTCTGACATCATCACTAAAAACAGCCATAATGCTCGGGTCTTATTTTCTACAGTTGACAGGCTAACAAACCCTCCTGTGTCAGTGGCAGCTGAACTTCATTCGACCATGGCCTGCAATGACTTTGCCAAATTCTTCACAGAAAAAATCCAAAAGATTAGACAAGCAATTGGTACATCAACAGCAGATCCAGGATATGTACTGTGTCCACCGAAAAACTGTTTAAACACCATGAAACAGTTTCAACCTATTAACAGCAAAGACCTGGAGGACATCTTAGGTCAACTGAACTCCTCCTCCTGCTGTTTAGATGTCCTGCCAACAAGTTTTTTCAAAAAGGTCTCAAAGACTTTAGAGTCAGACCTGTTACAGATCGTCAACTTTTCTTTATTATCAGGTGTGTTTCCAGAATCACTAAAAACTGCTGTAATCAAACCTATACTGAAAAAGGACAATCTTGACAAGACACAAATGAACAACTACAGGCCGATCTCAAATCTCCCGTTTTTAAGTAAGATCATTGAAAAAGCAGTTTCTCAACAGCTCAGTTACTTCTTAAAACAGAATAATTGCTACGATGCCTTCCAGTCAGGTTTTAGACAGAACCACAGCACTGAAACCGCTCTGACCAAAGTGTTTAATGACATATGTCTGAATACAGACAGTGGAAAAATGTCAGTCTTAGTTTTACTGGATCTCAGTGCAGCATTTGATACAGTTGACCACAACATATTACTCAAACGACTGGAGAACTGGGCAGGTCTTTCAGGAACTGTACTAAACTGGTTCAAAACATACTTAGAAAACAGGAAATACTTTGTATCAATAGGTAACTTCACATCTGAGCAGACAAGTATCACATGTGGAGTTCCCCAAGGTTCCATCTTGGGACCCCTTCTGTTTAACATTTACATGCTCCCACTGGCACAGATTATAAAGAACAACAAAATAAACTACCACAGCTATGCAGATGACACACAAATATATATCACAATGTCACCAGGAGACCGAGGCCCTGTACAGGCTCTTGGTAAATGCATTGAGGAAATTAATGACTGGTTGTGCCACAATTTTCTCCAGCTAAACAAAAACAAAACTGAGGTAATAGTCTTTGGCGCCAAAGAAAAACGATTACAGGTCACCAGAGAACTTCAATCTATACATCTAAAAACCACAAACCAGGCGAGAAATTTGGGTGTAGTGATGGATGCAGACCTAAACTTAGAAAAACACATTAAGACAATAACAAAGTCAGCTTACTATCACCTCAAGAATATTTCAAGGATAAAAGATCTGATGTCTCAACAGGACCTGGAAAAACTAGTCCATGCATTCATCTTTAGTAGGCTTGATTACTGTAACAGCATCTTTACAGGTCTACCTAAAAAATCAGTCAGACAACTACAGCTCATTCAGAACTCTGCTGCTCGAGTCCTCACTAAGACCAAAAAAGTGGACCACATCAGTCCAGCTCTGAGGTCTTTACACTGGCTGCCTGTCCGTCAGAGGATAGACTTTAAAGTTCTGATGCTGGTCTATAAAGCTCTGAATGGTTTAGGACCAAAATACATCAGTGACCTCCTGACCCAGTATGAACCTTCCAGATCCCTCAGGTCATCTGGATCCGGTCTTTTATCAGTTCCCAGAGTCAGAACCAGACACGGAGAAGCTGCATTCAGCTTTTATGCTCCTTATATCTGGAACAAACTCCCAGAAAGCCTCAGATCAGCTGAAACACTCAGTTTATTTAAATCCAGGTTGAAGACTCACCTGTTCTCAGCTGCATTTGAATAAAGCACCAAATCCACACTTTTAAGCTTAAATTTCAAAAC